GATAATAATATGTCCCGGGGAAAATGTGTACAAAAATAGAAATTACAAATTTTAACGCGCATACTTATACGGAGTGCAATACGAATATCTGACACACGATATAACTTTTGTACCGGTATAGCCGTATTTTCCGTTTACTTTTGTAAAATCCCGGACGTATGGTAACCTTGAACACAGGCCTTTCGGTTTTGAGTAATGGTTCTATGGGCATTGCCAGTATAACAATGCGGTTTCGATAAGGAATTAATCTCGGAATTGTTTTTGTAATCGGGGGTTTTGCCCAATGTTGCCACAAGGCTTGGGCGATAAACGCGCGAACGAAACTGAATCGCAATATACCAAGCGCACGGTTTCATTATATTTTCAACTGTCGCGGTGTGCGTTCGTCAAAAACTCCGCGTAAGTACTACGGTTAATTATTATTAATTATTATATTATAATCATTGATTGAATTGTGGTAGGTGGTTACTCTGTGGCAGGACCTCTGTTTGACTGTTTTTATTTTACCGTATTACATTGTTTAACAGAGCTCATTTACTTGAATTTTCCCAATTCGAGCACTTTTGATAGATGTATGTACCGTTGTACGTCTAAATAGTTTTTTTTTTTTTTCAACTTTTTTTTTTTTTTTTTTGTACCTACCCGAGTAGTTTTTACTTAGCTAATGTCAAAAGTAGAGAGTAGTAAATTGGTGTTATTTTATGTATTTATACGCCCGAAAATGCGTTTAAAAAATGAAATTCGAAACTAAGAGAAGAACATTTGATAGGTTTATAGGGGCAGGGTTATATTATAGTGATGATCAAAAAATAAACGAGAGGTCATCATCAACAGTAAAGATCATTTTAATTTGAAAGTATTTTTAAAACTTTGGGGGACTTTTAAAATTTCTAGGGAGATAAGCATCTCAAGCAACCGATACTCGATTATCGGTGTGAGTCGTGAGTAAAATGTATTGGTTTTTCCAACATGGATTTGTAAAAGTTTAGGACAGAAGATAATGAAATTAAATCGTTAATAACAATTTTAAAATCTGAGACATACTGTTTTACACCAATTGTATTGCCGATTTTGTAATCGGAATAAATAGTAGGTTGGTATAAATTAAATATAAATTATTAATTTATGAAATAACACTTAACCATCGTAATAATATCGTGTTGACTACTTATTAAATTCTAACTTTCTTCAGGTTACCAAAATATTAACAGGTAGGTAGGTTCTTATTATTTTATGTTTAATTTATATTAATTATTAGTATTATAAACTTTGAAAAACGTAAAACGCAGATAGACTTTCTTGGAGAAATCGGGATTCAGTAAGACATTGTGCGATTCTCTGCTTTTTATATATTTGATATTTTGACTTTTATAATTGTATTATGATTATACGCATTTTAATAATTTAGAATATAGTTTGTAAAATTTGACAACTTCTGAAAAATATAAATGATTTTGGCTGTATAGTAGATTGCTAGATTTTAACATATGCTGATAAAAATTATGTAAGTTCGTAAGCATAACAATAGTTTTTTAATATAGACCCATATAATTGAACTTATATGTATGAATTTAAATTTTTAAATATTAATCATTTTTGCTACAAACCTTGATAAGTTAATTTTTAAATTTCCAAGTTAATATACAAATATACAAATAATTTTATTTATTTCTACACAATATTAAATAATATAAAATATAAACAAAGAATGACAAAATATTAAATAATTTGAGTATATCAATATAAAAAAATTATTTTCAGGAGGGTCAAGTAATCCTTGGCTCCAATAATGATGCCCATGTTTTTTCTTAGTTTGTTATTACATTTTTAGAATGGCTCAAATAGAAGACAATTGTATACAAATTAAACCAATTATTGATTGTATTATTTTATTTGATAGAAAGGAATTAACATTATAAAAACATATAAGATTTTTATAATATTACTGTTGATGGTGAACTTAAATTTATTGATTGAGTAAAATTGTTTAATACAAATTTAAAGTAAATCTCAAATTTATTTTTCCTTGTTTAATTTTTGAGATGATACTTTTATACAAGGCAATTTGTGTGTATTTTTTATGGACATAAATTACATATCCTAATTTTTATTCCAAATGTATGAACTTCAATAATTATTTTTTTTTTTTTTTTAAGTTTGAATTTGATTGTATGACTGGATAGTTATCTTGATCCCAATTCATTGTATACAAACTAATTTAACTATTTCAGGATTTAATTTAAATTAGAATTTCTAAGAATTAACATGCTTTGAACATTTATGAATAACGGATCTTCAAATTGAAAAGTTATGTCTAGCGAGTTAATATTAAAAGCTGGTTCTAACCTTTCAATTTGATGGTCCTTTATAAAAGTATCGGGTCATCTTATCAGTAATGTATGCTATTATGAAATGTACATATACTCCTTCAACATTTAAGTTTACGGATTACCTACTGAAATTCTTTAATATAATTAACTGTTTATTTATGTAGATTCTCTTAATGAATTATACAAATTTTATTGAAATTCTTAAATATTGTCAATTGTTTATTTATGTATAATTTGCACATGCTAGACATATTATTTTTATTTTTAAATTGTTTTTTGTAAACCTAATTTTATATATAAAATATCACTGTTCACCGATTTTATGATTTAATTCTAATAATATTATGGAAGAAATACATTTTCCTGTGTATTGAGGAGGCCAATATGTGGCCACTTAAGAATAAGGGATCTTTAAATTGAATAGTTATCTCTAGCGAGTTAATATTAAAAGCTGGGTCTAACCTTTCAATTTGATGGTCCTTTATAAAAGTATCGGGTCATCTTATCAGTAATGTATGCTATTATGAAATGTACATATACTCCTTTAACATTTAAGATTACGGATTACCTACTGAAATTCTTTAATATAATTAACTGTTTATTTATGTAGATTCTCTTAATGAATTATACAAATATTGAATTTCTTAAATATTGTCAATTGTTTATTTATGTATAATTTGCACATGCTAAACATATTATTTTTATTTTAAATTTTTTTTTATAAACCTAATTGTGTATATACAATATCACTGTTCACCGATTTTATGTTTTAATTTTAATAATATGGAAGAAATTAAATTTCCTGTGTTTTGAGGAGACCAATATGTGGCCACTTATGAATAATGGATCTTCAAATTGAATAGTTATCTCTAGCGAGTTATTATTAAAAGCTAGTTCTAACCTTTCAATTTGATGATCCTTTATAAAAGTATCAATCATTTATGAAATGTATATATACTCCTTTAACATTTAAGTTTACTGATTAACTACTGAAATTCTTTAATATAATTAACTGTTTATTTATGTAGATTCTCTTAATGAATTGTACAAATTTTATTGAAATTCTTAAATATTGTCAATTGTTTATTTATGTACCATTTGCACATGCTAAACATATTTTTTTTATTTTCAAATTGACTTTTGTAAACCTAATTGCATATATACAATATCATTATTCACCAATTTTATGATTTAATTGTAATTATATCATGGAATCAATAAATGTTTTTGTGTATTGAGGAGACTAATATGTGGCCATTGATGAATAATAGATCTTCAAATTGAAAAGTTATGTCTAGCGAGTTAATATTTAAAGCTGGTTCTAACCTTTCAATTTGATGATTTTTTTTATAAAAGTATCGGTCATCTTAACAGTAATGCATGCTATTATGAAATATACATATACTCCTTCAACATTTAAGTTTACGGATTATCTACTGAAATTTTTTAATATAATTAACTGTTTATTTATGTAGATTCTCTTAATGAATTATACAAATATTGTCAATTGTTTATTTATGTATAATTTGTGCATGTTAAACATATTATTTTTATTTTTAAATTTTTTTTTGTAAACCTAATTGCATATATACAATATCATTATTCACCAACTTTATGATTTAATTGTAATAATATTATGGAAGAAATACATTTTTTTGTGTATTGAGAAGACCAATATGTGGCCACTTATGAATAATGGGTCTTCAAATTGAAAAGTTATGTCTAGCGAATTATTATTAAAAGCTATTTCTAACCTTTCAATTTGATGGTCCTTTATAAAAGTATCAGTCATATTATCAGTAATGCATGCTATTATGAAATGTGCATATACTCCTTTAACATTTAAGTTTACTGATTATCTACTGAAATTATTTAATTTAATTAACTGTTTATTTATGTAGATTCTCTTAATGAATTCAGTTATACAAATTTTTTTGAAGTTCTTAAATACTGTTAATTGTTTATTTATGTATAATTTGCGCATATTAAACATATTATTTTTATTTTTAAATTGTTTTTTGTAAACCTAATTATATACATACAATATCACTGTTCACCGATTTTAAGATTTAATTGTAATAATATTATGGAAGAAAAATACATTTTTCTGTGTATTGAGGAGACCAATATGTGGCCACTTATGAATAATGGATCTTCAAATTGAAAAGTTATGTCTAGCGAGTTAATATTAAAAGCTGGTTCTAACCTTTCAATTTGATGATTTTTTATAAAAGTATCGGTCATCTTAACAGTAATGCATGCTATTATGAAATGTACATATACTCCTTTAACATTTAAGTTTATGGATTATCTACTAAAATTTTTTACTATAATTAACTGTTTATTTATGTAGATTCTCTTAATGAATTATACAAATATTGAATTTCTTAAATATTGTCAATTGTTTATTTATGTATAATTTGCACATGCTAAACATATTATTTTTATTTTAAATTTTTTTTTATAAACCTAATTGTGTATATACAATATCACTGTTCACCGATTTTATGTTTTAATTTTAATAATATGGAAGAAATTAAATTTCCTGTGTTTTGAGGAGACCAATATGTGGCCACTTATGAATAATGGATCTTCAAATTGAATAGTTATCTCTAGCGAGTTATTATTAAAAGCTGGATCTAACCTTTCAATTTGATGATCCTTTGTTAAAGCATTGATCGTCTTATCAATAATGTGTGTATCTGAATCGTACTTCGCCTAATCAAGATTAAAATGTGAGTTAATTGATAATGTATTGAAATTATTAAATAAAATTAATTGTTTATTTTTGTAGATTCTTTTTATAAACTTAACTATACAAATGTAAAAATGTACTTAATCCATCTGTTGTAAATTAAATAGTAGTCTATCTAAGGTTTTTTATCATTTACACTCTTTTCAGCTAGATGTTACATTTAGTGATCTTGGAAGAAAAGTTATTGATTTAATGTTTTTATTTTACTTGTTTAATAGAGATGTAGATAGCCTGGTTTTACTTTCAATGGTTGGCGTAAATTCTTTTGTGTTCCTTTTTTTACCAATAGCTCAGCATCATATTTTCTTCCAGTTCCAGATAATGTTAGCAAATCAATTACTATCTTGTGATGTTTTTTTATGTCCATGAATTTTTTGAGTGTAACATATACAGCGGGTTAACTAATTGTATAATATTATATCAATTTTGTTATATTTATTTATATTTGTTTGATTATTATTTCATTAATTGTATTTTTTAATTACTTGCGCTGTTTATGATTGTTACTTTTTTGTTGTTAGTTTTTCACCTGTTTATATAATGTATAAAAATAAATACCATTAAAGTAAATTATTGTTCAAAAACAAATATATTTTAATTAAATAAAAATAGCCTTGTTTATTTAACTTTTCCTGTGAACAATTTTTTTACAAGCAATTTATAATGATGGCAATGTTTCTTTAAGGAAAAGACTGGAGATATTCTCAGGAGTTCTCCAATTAATGTGAAAAACTGAGAAAACCAGTACAATATTAGACAAATATTACTAAAGTAAAAATATAAAGCCTATTTAATTATTTTACTAAAATTTGACATATATATTGTTAACAAAGCATTACTATAAGCTGAACTCTCCTCAGAATCGGTTTTTTTTGGCAATGGTTTATTATTGCTTACAAGTATATATTAAACTACTTATAACTGGCTGCATCTGTCCCTATTATCTTAGGATGTCTTCTTTTGCATTACCTAGATTTGGTGAGTATAATAATTTATTGTTTTAAATTATTTAGTTTCTAAAACATCCAGTTATCTAATGAATTGTTTCCAAAAAAATTGTTAGATTTCAATTTTTTTATTTTAAAGCATTTTAAATGATAAAATTGTAGATAATGGTTTTTTTTTTTTTTTTTAATTTCGAACCATAAGTCATCATTTTTAAATAATACAAGTGTAAATCGACACTTGTATGCATCTAGTTCAGTATATCCTCATGACTTAGAATATCAGATGCTGTATAATAGTATTATGCAGATTTTACAAATATAAAACTTCAAAGGTAGGTAGCATGATATAATTTATTACTGAAAATTTTTAATTACCTTCCATAGCATTTCTTCACTTTTTATTTTTTGATAATTAGTTTTTGAGTTAATAGCATTTTAAACTGATATTAAGTATAGTGTTCCGATCTTAATTATTAAAATTTTGGTTTATATTTAAGACACTACCTACCTTTCTTACAGCAGAGTAAGATTTAAAACTTCTAAGGTTTAATTGAAGTAAGTAGAAAGAGTCATTAATACATTATAAGATGCCTACATTAACTTTCTAATAATTGCATTAGACATTGTAAAGTAAAGCAGTGAAAATACCAGGTTGTTGTAAATTACTACTCTAACTATAATAATGGTGTACAGATTATTATTTAATCATACTTGAAGAAGTTTTTGCTTGTAATAAACCATGTGGTTAGTAGAGAATTCAAGCAGTTTTCTAAAAAAAAAAATAGTAATTTAAAGTAATCTTATTAAGCCCAAATTATAACAAAAATAATGGCCAATAAGATAAAAATAAAAGTACATATAAAGGTTTATCTTGATTATTGTTTCATGGGTCTCATTGAAATGTGATGTACCTGTTTGGTGTTTGTATAAGTAAAATGAAATAAAGTTAATTTGGTGATTTCTTGTACAATATATATTAAGACAAGGAATACAGGTACCTATGCGATTTCTTTTTTGGTTAATAATTTTACAGTAAAAATTATTGAAGCTGTATACTTTTTTAAATTGTGTTAATATTTAATTTTGTTAAAATTCTGAGTGAATATACCTAGTACTTAGTTGATATAGCAATAAATGTTGAGTTGGTTTTTATAAAAATTTTTAAATTTTTTGTTTAAAATTATGTTTTGACGATTAATCTATATTCATCACAGTATTGTTACTGTGATCCACCCAGTGCTCGAAATGGAATGAACTGCACCAGAACGGTGTTCTGGTTTGTAATATTGGCTTCTGCATCCCTTCTGGTTGTTTAAAATTATAATTTTAGAAGAAATTAAATCAATCGCCACTCCATAAAATATTTTCGATCACAATCAGGGGGATTAAAATAATTAATAATAATTTGCATAGTAAATCAAATTTTCTTTTGATAAATGTGTAATCAATTTTTATACAACGATATTGACACTCGACAATGCTTGAAATTGTAGTATTCTTCAAAATATATTTGTGTCAAACATCGCAAAAACGAAATCGTTAAAAGGCACCTATCTATATAACCCGAATTTGATAACTATGTCTATCGAAGTATCGACTCTTGGCATCTGATAATTTTGATTGGAAAAATATCTTGTGTATCACTAAAACTAGTTTACCTGTTTACTAATTAACTATGTAGTTATTAATATTTATTGTTAATTTTTTGTAAACAATAATTTTAAATGTACTTTAATTGCTGAATAGTTTATTTTATGTTACAAAGAAATACATGAAATTTTTTTTTTCCTGGAGTATCTAGGATATTAATAATAGCTTACTTTGATATACCAAATTATTAAAAAAAAAAAAATAAAGTGTTTTAGATTGATACACACAAAAATAACAATAAATTGATAAATATTTAATACGTACCTACATATTATTTTTACATATTTCTAAATGTAATTTAATACAAAATATAATAAAGATAATAAGAAAAAACTTAACCTGGACTATTAGTTACGAATATACCGGGTAGGTGTATTTAATATATTATGTTAATATGACAGTATGTGTCGTCATTTGCCAGCGCTGCATTTCCTAAGGTATACTCTGTTTCAAAATATAACATAATTTTCGTGTATTTATAACTGTACTTGTATAAATATTAGTGTATTGTTAGATGGGCGCACAAATTATTAGTGCCACACGCCCGAATTTTTTTTGTTATGATAATAGGAGTAGGTCAGTAATTATAGGCAGTGTTGGGCGTAGGTGGTCGATTAATTTAGATTAAATTAAGTAATTAATTATGATCAATTTATTAAATTTCATTAGTTATTAATCGTTTAATCATTTTTCATAGTAATCAATAATCATGATTAAATATTTGTAATCGTTCATCGTTATTGCCAAATTTATCGCATAACCAACTGTATTATATATTTATGAGTAAAAAAAATTGTATAATGAATAAACAGTACTCTCATTAGCGCTCTAGAGTAATCATATTATGTTTAGTGTCTATAAACATGATGTCCATCCAAAATTTAATGCTCCATGGCCCCTCTTAATGCCTTAGGACAATTTCCTCTTTGGTGCTAAAAGGGGGGTCTCTTAGAACGGTCCCGTATACATTTACATTAATATATTATACATATAAATAACTGTAGTAAGTAAGAAGTATTAGAAGATGATTAAGTATATAACTGTATAATGGAATGAAATGTCTATAATTATTACAGTAGAGGCTCCTCGAAGGTCCAAGAGAGGACGTGTTTTTGGAGACTGGGACATTTTCACTACTATTCAATTGGAAAACCTTTCATAAAATAATGTTTACCGATCTAATAATAAAAAAGAAATAATGTATATTTCAAAATATAGCTGTTATTCATTATCATTAAAAATTAATCATGATTACAAATTAAAGTATTTTGTAATCGTAACAAGTATTATGATTACATTATTATTTTAATCACTTAAAATATTTTTTATTGTGATTATTGACCATAGATATTAAAGAATCGGCCAGGTGTATCTACACCTTGTCGAAAACTATTATTGATTGATTATTATCAGTGTAATACACACATATATATCAGTCTTATATAAACAATGACAGCTAAAAGACTAAAATAAATTCACTCTTTAATTATTTTCATTATAGTTATTTTACATTTTAATAGTTTAATGCCATTTGATTCACTGCTAATTAAAAATTAGTCACGAGTCAAACTACGGTTTGCTAATAACAAACAATAGTTGTGCGAGTAAATTATTTAAAATTAAGCATTATTTTTTTAATGTATTTAATCAAACAAAAGTTGCTATTGAAAATGTGTTGAAGGTGATATATTCAAGACTTAAGTACAGCAGTCAATTTTTTTTATATAATATAGTATGGCTTTTATTTAATTTTAAGATGTTACATAAGTAATAAAAAAATGATTTTATTGAAACTATCTGTTAATAATTTGTCACTGATACCGGTTTCCTTCAGTTAATTCTGCATTTATTTGGATAACAATATTGTTTGGTGGTAAATTATTTTCCATACTAAAATCAATTTCATCAGTTTCGTTGATTAATTAACATTGACTAATGGCAAGTTATTGGATATTCAAATGTTATGCAATACTGCACAAACATTTATAATGTTTTCAGCCTTTTCTGGTGAGTAGTGAAGGACTCTGTGTTTCAAAAGACACCTAAATCGAATTTTCAAAATACAATTGCAGTGTTCAATAATCGATCTAGTTTTACACAACCGTTCATTATACCGGGCTTTAGGACTGTTTACATGTGGTTTAAATAATAGAGTCATTAACCAGGGTTAACCCATATCCCGAATCACCGAGTAAAAAGTAAAATGTTTGTCCTATTTAATGTAAGTGTTTTAACGAATCATTTATCAGACTTAAACACCAGATATCATGAACATTTCCTGGAAATTTTGCACACACATTAAATATTTTTAATTTTGAATCATATATCCGCAAGAGAAACAAAATAAGTATGTATAATGTACATAGTGTACATACTTTTATAACATGAAATAATAAAACATTTCTCTTTAAAATGTACCTATCTATTTATTATAGGTATACCAGTGGCTGAAGTGGCTCAAAATAAACTGAGAAATGCCAAAACTTTTATACTGTTTTTATATTAAGGCTTATACAAGTTGGGGTAATTGGAGGTGGAAATGAGTTGAACCCCTATGGCCCTATGCCTTATTTTTATATTAAAAATGTATATATATAAATATAGTATATATTTTTGTTTTTCAGTTTGATTTTTTATTTGTTGATATATATAACTTTGTATATACATATAATTATATTTTTATTTAAAACATAAAACATATTAAAAATAAATGTATAATTTATACACATACAGCTTATCAATAGGTTCTAACAGTAAGCATTATATCATTATACAGTAGGTATAAAAACAAATACAAAAACTAAACTATTTATACATTAGTCATTAGTATAGTCTATAGATTATAATGGCACATTATGATATAAAAACATCAATATAAATTAATAATCTTTGTATATAATTATAAGGGGGATGTATTATTTTGGACAAAACAAGTGGAGGGATGAAAAATGTAGATTATAATAAATTGTGGGATGTCATCCCCCCCCCCTTCGACCACTAGGTATACCTATATTTTAAAACTTACAAGTTTCATATTAATACTATAATAACCTTTTCTGTTAACATAAATAAGTTCTGGTTCTATTTCATCCCCAGATTTATGAGGAACGATTGCTATATATATATATGTGTCCCATCAATAACTTGAGGAATTGAAAGTCTCATAAAATCTAATAAGTTTAAAAATATATTTTATAAATCAATTTAAATGTAGGTACTTAAATTAATCCCTATTAATCAATTATCGCCCTTTCTAAGTAACTCATCATGTAGTTCATTTCTAATGTTTGGAAAATAAATATATTGATTTAAAATTTGGGAATTATTTAAAGCTTCAGTTACTTCATTCAGGCTTAGGCATCTACTGGCAGACGCTTGACTAAGAGCTGAACCTCTATGTTCACCGATGTCTTGTTGGTAACCAACACTAACATAAAATCGTAAAGTTGAGTACCTAAATATTATAATTTGATAATTAGGTAATGGCTAGTATGTAGATAATGCAAATACTTTAATAACCTAATATTGAAATGCCTATTTTTGTACACTTATTCCCGCTAATGAGTTGGGGATTTTCATAAAAGACGTTAAAGTATGAATTAGTTTTTCAATAGGGACTTTACTAAGTCAATATGTTTCCATAAATTATCTTTCAGATAAAACTTAAAAATTAATAATAATAATAACAACAATAATAGTTTACATTTATTATTAGGAGCATGGAAATATTTTGAAATATAACCAAACAAAACAAGTGTTATAGAACATCGGTAAGTACGACCTATATTTAAGGAGTACTAATTAGTTTAATAACTAATATTATAAATAATATAAATAATTTATTGAGCAATCATGAAATAAACTAAATTTGATTTGATATTTAACTTACCAGTAAATATATCCTCTGGCATCATAAATTATCTAATAAAAGATTATTTAAAACCATATTTTGTATTAAATTATGTTGTATTATAATAAAATCAGGTGCGTCTCTAAGGGGGGGGGGGATATGGAGCGATCGCCCCCCCCTCATAAACGTGTGATGTTGATTTTTGTTAAAAAAATATGCATAATTCTTAACTACAAATGCAACTTGGTTCCAAATGACAATGACATAAAGAAGATAACGGATTTTCGAAATATTTTGATTAAAACAAGAATGAAACACTTCTCATTTATAAATTTCAATAAATATTCTTTCAAGGGTGAAATATAATTATGCATGGAAAACTAAGTAAGAACAATCAATTTTCAAAAATATAATTAAATAATATATTTTTAGAATCAAAATTAGAAATGATTAATTTAAATAAAATTTAAGATTCAAAAAATGTACCTATTGAATTTGCAATGTTTTTTATTATTTTTTTTGTTTATGCTGTGACAAAAATTTCTACAAAAATCTTGCTTCAATATGTAAGTGTAGTACATTTTTTAAAAGAAATTACTGGCATACCTATTGACTAAATGATACTTTTGAAGGTAATTTTTTGATTTTCCAAGCATTTTTCATATCAGGAAAACCTAGGATAAAACATAAGAAAAACGGAAAAATGTATGAAAATAATACTTTTATTATTTTCAATTTTGGTTTTTGTTGTAATTCGGTTAAAAATATTTGTATAGACTTGAAATTCGGACAGGAAACTTATATTAGAATTGATGTGGTAAAATTGTTGAGCAATTTATAGACATTTTAATTTTGCGAGTTTTGTATGTCGTTTTTATTCAGTAGGTACTCTGTGGATAAAATTATTAGACCAAACAGAAATGCTTGAGAATTTAACATTAGGTTCGTTAAAAGCTGAATTTGTAGTAAAAAAAAAAATGTTGAGCAGACTAACTAGCTTATCACTTTTAAATATTCATCGAAATGAAAACATTAATATAGAAAATATTGTTAATAAAACCTCTTGCAAAACGTTGCTTAAAATAAAAGTATTTTGGACTTAGTCATTTAACTTTTATTAATTATTATTGTTATTATTATTATTGTTATTTATATTATTATTTATTTAATGTGAAACAAATTAATTTAACTTTTCAATTGTACCGTTTTACTGAATTTGTACAGTAAATCTGCTGTCTTATAAACTAATATAAGTTCAAATGACATCAGACATAAAGATTTTAAGTTTTTGTTGACCAAAGCGATGATATTCAAGAGTAAAAATTTTTCACCCCCCCCCCCCAAGGGAATTGACCCCCTGAGCAGACGCCTCTGAGCAATACTATTAACCGAGCTCCGTTTAGAATCATTTTTTGTGCGCTTTGCTTAAATTTGCTTAGGTACAGATTTACATTAAATTTCTTTCAATATCCTACCTTCCCAACTTCTCATTTATAACAGTGATCCACCATATAACAAATTAAACTAATTTGTCACATATTAAATTTAATTATTTCGCCCTCCCCCCCTATAGTCAAGGCCTGGAGACTCTTCTAAATAAAATCTACATCGTCTTTAGCCATGATGAATAGCCAATAGGTACCTATACCTAAATATCATAATTTTACACTTTATGTACATACCTAAGTACTTTGAAAAAAAAAACAGCACATAAGTAATAATAACAAATAGGTAAATACCATTGTAAATAGTATAGGTAAATCGTTTTTACACAGCTACTGTAAAAATACCACACCGCAATCAAAATTATAAAATTGTTAACATTATAGTATCACGACATAAACTGTATACTAGGTATATAGGCCCCCTGTATATAATGATAATAATAATAAATCACTGTGTAACTTACTTGATGAAGGTAAATCTGACAAATTATTAAACAAGTTTACAGTGTCTAATTTATTTGTGTTTTATACAGCCATGTGACATAACTTGTATTCTTGTAATTTACATATTTGTTTGAGTTAAAAGTATTTCCATTTGTGTATTATACAACTAATAAAGTTTTTATTTATTTTGGAAAGCCATGAAGTACAAGGGTAGGTATGTTTGTGTAAATCATTGGTGGATATTGGAATACAAATACTCGGTGTAAAGAACAAAGAAATTTACATAGAAATAATGCTCAAATAAGTTCAGTTTTTTTTTGACTTATTGAATGAATCCTCATAAAATTGTGTTATTATATTATCGGTATATTAGATTGTAGATTATGGAAATCACAGTTCACTACTTACCATTAGCTTTAACATTATTTAAAATCATTATTGTGCCTTTATTTTTAGGTGTATGTATTTTAGATTCTAAGTGGAGTGAAGAAGCTAATAGTTTTACAAAGATTTTTATTTTTTTTATTATTATTTGTGCGCAAATTTTCTACCAGAAGACTTGTTCAGATTTTTACATCTTTTCTGAAAGGAAATCAGTGTGGATAGGTACTTTAGGGAGGTCATTTTTTGGTTTTCCCAGGGGTTTTCTCATCAAATTTAAAAAACCAATATAAAACATAGGAAAACTGGAAAAGAGATGGGAAAATCGGGATAACACTAAACAAATATTATTGAAGAAAATATATAAAGCCAGTTTAGTTATTTCACTATAAAATTACATATATATTGTTAATTGCAAAAAATATTTTTCTGGCAAGTTATATCAATGCACTGGCTACTTAAAACTCAAATGACCTGGATCGATTTAGAATATTATTTTATTAGTAATTGACCCAGACAGTATGAATAATACTTTAGTACCTGTTATAATTTTAATTGTTTTTATAAAGATGAAACTATTTTAGAAGGAGAATTTAATTCTGTAATACTTGATGAGATAATACTAAGAACACAGTCCTTAGGATAAATAAGATCAAAAGTAATACATTTTGCAGAAATAACTGTAACACATTGTCAAATATTTGCTTTTAAGTGTCGTTTTCGACTTACTAGACAAAGTGTTGAGGTAGGTACCTACAATTAGAGATAGTAAATATTAGGTCAGGATCAAGTCAATTCTATTGCACTAAATATGTTGAATTAATAAACTAACATAATAATATTGTACAATTTGTTAATTAGATTATAATATGTTACATAATACATTGGTCCTTTATTTGTTCATGATAATTCAAAAATTGATGTAACAAAACAAATATTTATAACCTTATTGTATATAGCACATAATGAAATTTACAAGTATGAAAAGTTTAGTTTTACATAAGTTTATATGGATTGTGCTTATCCATTGACAGAAAGTGTGATGACACCATACTGCAATAATGGATATTTAACTGAAGCTCAACTCAATTTCAATAAAATACTAAGCAGCACTAGTATTGCTTTAGAACTGGCTTTTGCAAAACTATTTGGAATATTAAGTTGTATCTTGATTTTTATTAGTCAAGAATTTAATTAAAATTATTATTTAGGTTTTTAGACGTTTACCATAAAAATTAAAAAGTGGGTTAATTATAAATGCTGCTGCTACATTACACAATATTTGTATGGACCAGAATGGTGATATAGAAGCAGTGACTTATGCCATGACAGATATGTACCATCGAATCAAACAGATTCTTAAAATGGGATGTTTAAAAAAAATAATTTGTTAAATTTTTCTTAATATATTTTAATCTTCAAATTATTGTTATTATCTTGAATAATTAATATTTTTTTTATTTTCAATTTCATTACTTAATTCAAGTTTTTTTGATAAGTTTTTTTTTTAATTAAATAGATCCACTTTTTCTCTTTCTACCATTTGATCTAGCCTTGAAGAAACATATTAGATAAAAATACCAAAATTTACAAAAAATAAAATTTTTGTTTAAAACATGGTTATGTGTAATTAATTTTAGTTGTTCTTCTTTATATTACATTAGATATGCAACCAATGAAGGTTTGGTGTGTTTAAATTTATCCATTAACATGTTACTATGAACTGTATTTGAATGACCATTGCGATTGAGTTATTTTTCAGCTGATCAAATAACTTCAGGGAGAATTTCTGTTAAACGAGTATACAATTAAATTGTACACTTTTAAAAGTTTAAGAAACAATAACAATCGGGAAAATCCCTAATATACCTACTTTAAAGTATGGCAAAACACTTTTTAAATGTGTACTGGTTAAAAAATACATAATTAAATTAAACTTTATTTCAATTTATAATATAATATGGTATAGTACTGGTCTACCATTTTAAAATTTGTTGATTAATTAGAATGCATGTTGTTAAAATAATATGACAGATCAATCTAATATTTTTCAAACTTATGCTATGTGTTCTTGTAAACTGCATACAGGTAGCACAGAACCTCTTATTAAAAATGATTTTTCACAAGTTTAAAATTTTTTCCAATTAACAATTATAATTATTTCCCCTTTGTAAGTTTCTGTATATAATATGTTTAGTGTTGTTAATATTAAATTATTTTTGATTTTTTTTTTCTCAGTTTATCTTTGAAGGGGACATTGATTTAGAGAAAAATTAAATTTTTATTTTCATCCCCTAAACATAAAACAATTTAAAAAATAGCTATTTTGTAAAAAATATTATTCTATAAATTGTAATGTATCATAAATTCAAATCCAATAAATAGTTTCTTAATTATAGTCTTTTAATTTCTAAAAAATAGACATGGAAACAATTAATATTTAATAGAAAGTAAAGAAAAACTGTGTTGATTGTAATTCCTTATGGCATAACATACTATTTTATTGAATATTAATTGTTTTCACGCCTAATTAAAATGGCTATAACTAAGAAATTATTCATTGGATATTAATGTGTGATACATTAACATTTATTGAATAATATTTTTTATAAAATGGCTATTTTTAAAATTTTCTAAAGTGAATAAATTAAGTTTTTTTTTGTCTTTAGGGGATGAAAATAAAAATTTAATTTTTCTCCAAATTGATGTCTCCCAGGAAGACAAACCAATTGAAAACAAAAAAAAAATAATCATAACAGCACTAGAAAAATTTGTCGAATAGGTGAGACACACTGTACAATATAGATACCTATAATAATAATAAATACTGCAATTTATTATTATTAAAATAATGCAAAATAAAAATATTACTTATTTGAGTTCTTTCTAATCTTCTATTAAGTAATATTATGTACTAAATTATTACTTTTTAATACATTTAAAATCCAAATACCTTTAGGAGGAGATAGTGTTTGACCTTTACTGAAAAACACATCCATTATATTAATAATGATAAAAATTGTCATTTAATGGCTCCTCTTCCAGACTGTATTGTTTTGTCATGATATTTTCGTTGTTGTGTTTTCAATATCCACTTTTCATCACAATCTTTTCCTGTAATGTGAATCCCAATATTACACATTTCTGTCGGAATTTCATTTCATATCATCAGTTTTTTCCTTGCATTGATACATTAAATTTCCAATCATGTTTAATTCTTAATTATACCATTAATTTAATTACAGCATCATTCCTCTAAACTGAAAAGTATTTATTTTTAATTATCCACTTTATTTGCACGAAAATATTTGTCTAAAATTACCACCATTAGGAGGATTTTCCCATACAGTAGATGAATCTAACTGTGCTTTCAAAATTGTTTTCTAAACTACAGGTTCATTGTCACCTTCAATAAAAAAAAATCATATTTTAGATCAGTACACAATAATTTTTTAAAATATATTTTAGTTATTACCAGAGTAAGAATGATTTTTTCTGGAGTAGTCTAGTGGAGGTAACTTTTAAAAATAAATGCTTTAGAACTGGTTTTTCTTTATAAAATCTGTAAGTATAGTAATCACTTTTCTTTATTTTTTTATGACAGAATTACCTACTACTCTGTATATTTGTAGACACAAATAGTCGCTAAGATTGAAGTTCCTTTTTCAGGTTCTGATAATTCTACATAAAAATTAATGTCACTATTAGTTAAAGGAAATATTCTATAATTTAGTAGTTTTTATACAACAATAATGTAAACTCAAAATTCTAAAACTTTCTTAAACTCAGAATTCTCAAATATTTAACAAACTCATTAAATATAGATGTCATGTTCAGATGTCCCAACGTAATAATATGTAAAACAGCTCTTTTTAAAACAGTTCTTTTAGTTAAATACCTATTCCGATTATGGCACATGCAAAAGCAGAAATTAATTTTTCGCAGTTGCTTAAGTATTTGGGAATTTGCCCATATTAATAAAAATAATTTAGAAAATCAAAAAAAAAAATAAATAGTTTGCTACAAAATTATAATTTATAACAATTAATAAACAATTACAAAAAAAAATAAAGGTGTTTAACTGTAATATCATGCTTAATAGCTTAATTTGATTTTAGAGTAAAATTATTCATTATGAAATTTATAGAGAACATTACTTTTGAGGGAATATCATTCATAGGGTTTTTGTAGTATTCATAATATATAGCTCGATATAATAGATACAAAAAATATTTTTTTTTTTTGGTTTTTTAAATAATTGGAACTTTTTTTAATAGGTCGTTCATAATTTAAAAAAACACCTATGACATTCCCTCTATAAATTTCCTAATAGGTACTTTTACTGTGAAATCAAAATTAAGCTAGTTTTACTTATTTTGCATGTTATTTATTTGTAGTTGGACTGAGGCTGTAGATGCGGGTTAAATGTCCTCTTAAGATAAAGATATATATCTTAATTTGTGTCCTTAACTAATAGTCGTAGTCCACCTTTGTACATTGTCTAATAAGATTATTCAAATTTATCTTTTTACTAATTCATCATCATAATTATGATATTGTTTGTGTTTGATTTTGTTGATTATTCTGCACAATTATAACCCATAATGTATACAAAACTAAGAAAATAAGCTCAAAGTTTATCTAGCGAAGAACAAAAACGGTATTACGATAAAATATGTCTTACTTATAATACTTTGAAAGACGCATACTAATTGCTGAAATATAACTGCGTCTGCGGAAAAAAAATTCTTCCAGTTACTTAGGTACCATAATATTACATATTACATATTGAAGAAATTTAAAGGATACAAAAGTTTTTATCTAATTTAAATTCTAATCTATGGTTCTTATAGTTGTTGAAGTAAGTTAAAGTAATTGTTGGAAAATTTGTTTTAAAAAGTACCTAAATAATAATTTTAGTTGTTTATTTCGAAAATGTACGCCCTTAGGTATCTACTTTCGTACAAGATTACTTAAGAACACTGATTGCACAGCAATAATTTATGGTTAATATAATGCATGTTTTAGTAATAAATTTGTATTTATATATAATAATTTAGAATTTTATAATGTTACTGATATTAGCATATTACTGAGAATGATATACTTAAGTTTTTAATTGAAAGTGACTATCTATCATTATTTTAATTTTGTTACATAGAATGATGAAAATAGTTCAGATAATTAAATTCATAGTGTGCATTAAAATATATGATACGTCCTACATTATCTGGGAATGTATTGACTTTAAAAACAAAATAGGCCAGACAAGAATATAAGTTACAATGAATAACAATTTTTTTCTTGATTTTATAATTCATAAATTATGCAAAATATACAACAGATTATCAATATGAAGGTAACAATAGGCTAGGTTTAATTCAGGAATTTTGATGAAACTACAGTAGAAACGATTTGACATTCAAGGGACTAGTTAAAATTTATCATAACAACCGATTGTCATTATAACCAAATTAATCAAATTAGATTAAAAAGCTTGATTATGTATATGAAAATACATTAAAATGAACGTAATAATATTAACTAATGTGTAATATCTCTGAATGTGCGATTTCAATACATGCAACAAAAAAAAAAAATGTTTTACTATTATAAAATTAAATGTACACTGCATTAAAAGATCTGTTATTCTATAAAATAAAAAATATAGTTCGCACTTTGTTCGCATTAAAATCATAAAACATTTTCATTTACTGTTTAGTATCAACGGTTACTGCATTACCTACCTGCGATATAATTTTAATACAACCATTATGGGCAACAGATTTTTCCAATATAATCAAAAAATGATATCGGTAGTCATTCAACAACAATCATTATCAACGTCATAACAATCGATGAAAATTAGTATATACAATATGAGAGTTTCGCCGGGACCTTCAATCTAAAGTCATTACAACCGGTGTCATAAACGGTACCCACTGTGTTTCGGAGTAGTTGTTAGAGGCCCAGTGTAATATCGTAGTTATTTACATTCGGATCAATATTACGGTGGTGAAATGCAATTGATACGACGGAGTAGTGTGTGTTCGTAATTCGTAGCTACGGCACCTTCACCGCACCGATTTTACGACGAATTTCTCGAATGATAGATCGCATAAGTTTACCGCCCCTCCGGGAACATCGCCTCACTTACGAGTTACAATTCTTAAAGCCTATGGGAGTAGCTTCATAGATAATGGATGCATGGATATAGAATCCCTACACCTATAATACACGTATACGGTGTACTAACTGTGAGTAAACTGCCGAGTGTCTACTGGTTACCAAAATGGTTGTATGCGGTTACAAATACTGGTTTATGATAAACAACATTTTTATCATCGTTTTTCTCAATCAGATTGTGCCAATTTTTAATTAATTAATTATACTAATTTTTGCCTCTGAATAATATTATTTTCCGAATTTATCGGTAATCGGTGAGTTGCTTTTTCGTCAACACCTATGGTTGACACCACACCTTAATTACATGTAACCACTTTGGTAACCAGTATGCTCTTCGATCACACTTGAATACATGATTTGGCCCATACATGTATATCTATGAGTAGCCCATAGAGCAATATAGAAAGGCCGTTCCCCGTATCGTTCTGTACGAGTTGATACGCAAAAGGTTTTTATTTTACAGTACCATTACTTTTGGGGAACCATATATTTTACAGTACTATGTGTTGTCTGTACTTTTATATGTTATCATCGAGATGTATACACTTTAGCGTGTAATACACATCTCGATGTATGTTACACAGGAATTATGATTTTATCACTGATAAAATGATAACCTATATCAGTAGAAGTAACCAATGTACTAGATATTTCATAATATTTTTTTATTCTAAAAGTATGTATTTTTTAAAATAGAAACCTTTTGCGCTTCAATATACATACGGGACGGCCTCTCTGCGTTATGCTATAGAGTAGCCTATCCATTTCTTTATTATTTAGTATAATATGCTTAAACCGTGAATTGGATTATCATAAACCGATAGCACGGTTATCTGTGCCTCGTGACGATAGTAGCAATAGGTAGTATTGATATTGATTTTAAGTATACATAATTGGCGAAAATTAAGGTCTAAGGCATCGAAAAGTAATTGTAGGGTCGAACGATCGTAGACTGTACCCTGCGGCCTATAGCAGAAGACATCGCCAAGGTGTATACATATGTCCTATACAAACACAACAATATATTGTACACCTTGGACCCCGTGATGTCTTTACGATAGACTGTGGTCGTTACAACCAAATATGGGCAGAACGTCAAAAGACAGACGTGACATATACTATCGTTTGGCCAAGGAACAGGGCTGGCGGGCGCGTAGTGCGTTCAAACTGATGCAAATCGACGAGCATTTCAACATATTCGATGGCGTGGTCCGAGTGGTGGACTTGTGCGCGGCGCCCGGCAGTTGGAGTCAAGTACTGAGTAAGAGGTTGTACGCGGACAAAACGGAGGGCGAGCAGGACGACGTGAGCATCGTGGCTGTGGACCTACAAACGATGGCACCGTTGCCAGGCGTTACGCAGATTAAGGGTGACATCACCAAGGAGAGTACGGCCAAAGAAATCTTGTCACAGTTCAGCGACCGACTCGTCGATTTAGTAGTGTTTGATGGCGCCCCTGATGTGACTGGGCTAAACGATCATGACGAGTACATACAGGCACAGCTAGTGGTGGCTGCCATAAACATTAGCACATATCTGCTGAAACCCCAGGGCAATTTCGTTGGGAAAATCTTCCGCGGTAAGGAGGTGTCAATGTTGTTGGCTTGGTTGGAAAAATTTTTTGACAGTGTCATCGTCGCCAAGCCGCGCAGCTCTCGCAACTCGAGTATCGAGGCGTTTGCCGTGTGCCTCGGTTTCCGATTGCCTGATGGATTCATGCCTAGCCTGGACAATCTCTCGATAGCCCGCAATGATAAGAGGCTCAGGGATGAGATGGTTGTGCACCCTGTCACCACACCCTTTGTGGCGTGTGGGAGTTTGGACAGCTTTGATGCCGATATGACATATCCATTGAATATTAATGGTGTCGAATATGTACCGAGAGAACCTGTACAGGCACCAATATCACCGCCATACAAAAGAGCTAAAACTTTGATCACCTCTAGAGGTAAAAGTGTTATTATAATGCATGATGTAGAGGAAACTATTATTAATACACAACGATTGAGACTGGAGTGACATTATTTACAGTGTAATGTATTAATTTTTTACTTAGACAATTTGATTTGTTTTCTATTTCTACAATAATGAGAATACAACCAAATTGTAAAGCAAAATTACAAATTGGAACAGATTATTAGTAGATAGTAAATTTTTTCAAGCAAGTAGTGATAATAATAACTAATATAAATGGCTCACACAATAACAATTATTCAAAAATTAAATACTAAGTCTTTAATTTTTTAGTATGTACTTTTGACAAATGTTAATATTTTCTTTATTTAACTGTATAAACTACACAAACATTTTGTTATATCGACACATAGTAAAGAAACTATTTAAATAACAGTGGTCGTGACTTTTAATAAATTAAAATTAAAAAAACATATTATATACTGTATCTGTAGAAAATTATTATTATATATTACCTACTCGAAATACCTAACAATTAATATTCAATTTGGTGATATTATCATGTATAAATATTTAAATAATTTTAATTCTAATTAGTTTTCTGAAAATCAATTATTTCATTAAATCCATCATGTCCAGTTATGCACAAATAAACAATAACAAAAAGAGAAAAAAAGAAAGCTGTAAACAACAAATTTACTAATATTTTAATAATATAATAATTATTTACCTGATTTTTTGAATTATAAAAATAAAATAATTTTCATCTATTCCCAATTGCGTTTGGCTTACCTACAACAAATCAATTAATATAATAAATGTATGGCTGTTAAAAATATTAAATTAAATGCATGTGTTGTTTCTAGTATCTGATAATAGTAGTTATAATAAAAATTTTAAAAGATTACCTACCGATTTGAAGATCCTCAACAGTCAATTGTAGGTATTTAAAATAATTTACATGTATTTGAGCAAAGGATGTAAAATGTATTACAATTTATTATCAATAACGCATAACATATTATTTTGTTGTTTTAAAATATTCACAAATTATAAATTATAATGATGTAGTGAAAAATTAGTATCAATCGGTACTGTGAGTGTATTCAGGGTAACATAGAACAAAATATAATAATACAATACGGAACATAACAATAATAACGATGATTCACTGTATACTAGTTGTATTCTAAATAAAAAAGATATATTGGTATGTAAAATATAAAGGGGTATGTGTGACCGCATTTTGTTTCAGTACACTGTCATCAAATGGACTGTGTATTGTTCATCAGGTATTGTGTGAAAACATCCAGAGGACACAAATTTACACTTAAAATGTCCAATATATATATAATAAACTGTAAATGGTATGCTCACACAACATAAGATTATGCATGTATATAATTGTTTATCATTTAGATTATTACAAAAATGTAACTAAAAGATTCAAATATGGGGCCATATGTGTACTTGGTATATTACAAAATGTAAATAATTTAACAAACGTAACGGATCATTCGCCATTCGAGAGGGACACTCAAAAACTTATCTACAAGCAAAATATCTACAAAATCTACAAGTGAAATATAGTAGAACTCCGTGCCACCTGCTGCGCGGCCCTTTGAGGCCAGTGCCGTCTCAGTCATAATATTGTAAATCCTATTCTTATAATTCGATTATTAATTATTTTATATCGACACCGACGCGAAGGCCATACAGTCCGTCTTCATAAGTCCATAAGTCCCAACGGTTTTTCTTGCATCATTCGAGAAGTATCCATATCCATATTGGTTTCTTTAGAAACATTTCAATACGAGTGAAATAAAAATAGGCCATAGGTACCCAACATTAACCGGCCCTTTGATGACATCGCCGTGCCGTCATCATTCTCCCGCACTAGATACCCTAATAATTATTTCTATACGAATTTAAAATCAACATGTAACACAATTTTTCTCTTATGGATGACCCTTTTAATTTTTTGTTTATTTAAACATATAAAATCTGACGGTTGTTTTTTTTGAAAATCGAACGTCTTGACCGCTCGAAAAATCCCAATACGAACACTCTGTCGTGAACCCTGCACACAGTAACAACTACGCTCCACCACCTTCTTTCGAAAATCTCACTCGGATAGCTGGCTCCGACTTTTAGCAACTATAATCACTCGTGTTTGATTTATTTTATAATTAACACAGCCTTTTGTTTTCCTAATTTAAAGATAAGCGTTTTTCAATCTGAGCGCACACAGGTGCAAAGTGTTAAGTTAGTTATATTAGTTAAGTTAGTTAGTTAGTTATAAGTTTATCTTAATTGAATTGTGACTGCCGTCCGACGACTCCAGGATCATGTGAGGATATCTATAGGTACACACCCTAGCGTTCCAACACCGTGGGCAGGTAATTATATTCTTCTTTATTTATTGATCTCGTTACCATTCACGGCTCCGAATCCCCCTCAAACACCGGAAGGAAGGCAGTAATATAATTAGTAGGCTGAACTTTTATTATGTTCAAAAATAAATCATTCTTTGTGGTACCGAAAACTAGATTAATTACTTTATATTATACAGGTACATTTTTTGTACATTATCCTCTGTGTTTTATTAGGCAGGTTTTATTTAGTAGGCACTTCTACATAATATACTATTATTTTAATTATGTCTGTCTTCCATTACTACATATAGTGTCATGGTCAACGACTGAATAATTTTCCTAATTCATTGTACCACTACAAAACATAGGTACCCTAAAATGGTTAATAGCAACAAAATATCTAGTATGGATATTCGCACCAACGAAACTTGTCCATAATCACGACCTTGATCGGTCCGCGACTTACTGAACACCGAGTGAACACCAACGGAAATGATTCGGTTAATAACAACGAATTTAATTCCGGATGGGATATTCTAACGTGTAGAAAAATGTGTACAACGATTGTAGAACATAATATATTTTAATACCTTCCTCGCATAAAACCATAACGTAATAATATGTTATAACGGTATGCTCTTAAAAATAATTCATCGTTGGATACGCATAAAATATTATGCAATACATTCGATGGACATCGATGCATATAATTATTAATTCTTAGTTGTCTTTTTTGTAGTTTTTCTGGGTCCGAATTCGTTAAGTATATAAGGCATAAGAAATTTCGTAATAGCTCTCAGTGCTATTTTTTCTTTGATTGCGTCCAATTTATCATAAAATTCTCGTTTGAGACTGATTCTTTCTTCTTCTTTTAATTTCTCGAGATATGTTCCCATTGAAATTGAATTTTCCTTAAATCAAACATAAATAACTTCAGTTTAAACTTGACATTCTTTATATACGTTTTTAGGTTTCTTTATTAAATAAAGTGAGTTTGTACCTAATTATTACGTTTAATTATAAAAATATTATTTGTATACATCAGTGACTGCAATTACTCAATATTAACTTACAATAATATTTTTAATTTTTAGCAAACATGTTGAAGATGGTCTAAATTTCAAGTCTCTACGAATATTTTTAATCGAATCACAACAAAAATTTAATTGAAAATAATAGATTTATTATCTTATTTGATTCGATTGAAGATTTGAGTAAACTAGACAAAACTAAACCAAGTGGGGTAGTTGGTTGCCTTGGACTCGCATGTAGATAACGAAGATGGGGGCGGGGGGGGGGGCGGGTAACCGATTTGAAAATAACGCGAACTATAATTGTTGTCGGTAATGGAGAATATATGTGTACATTATACACGGACAATTAATAGATATGTACAAGTGAACAACAGAATAAATCATGGTGAACAAATGTTTTGCAATTAAAAAGGGTTAGTGGGGGCACGCCACAATAAATAATTCAATAATAATAGTATACAATATAATAGACCATAGGTATCCGACAACGGTAAACGCGAACAATTAATACGGATTGCGCTCAGCGACCCGATAACACAAATGTGTAAAAATAAGATTAACCCGGCCGACGAGATGCGCGAATGTGGGCGGCGTCACAGGTGTTTGCCGGTAACGCTGACGGTGTCAGCTGTCCGACTATACGGGTACTCAAACCCGTTGTGGGCAATTCACCCGCAAACGGGCGAGACGGATCCGGGATTTCGCGAGTGTGGCGTAGTGCACTTCGGGTGCATGCACGTAACAGCGTCACGGAATGTCACCGCGGCGCGGACGCGACCGAGAATGGCACGGAGAGTGTACACGGACCCGGTCGGGAATAGGCAGAAAACGTGTACGGCCGAAAAAACGAACGCGGACAGAATATAAAAAAAAAAAAAAAAACGTACATACGCGCGTCCGACGAAAGACGGCACGGCAGACGAGGAACAACGGACGACGGAGAGAAAAGGCCGAGAGCGCCATAAGGTTCCCGCGGGTGCGAACGCATAATCAGTTTGCATAAACGTCATGTTACCGGTTATATTTTAAGTCGATGCCCGAACAAAACTGTTTTTCTATTTTCTCGTTATATTACCAATAATCTATTGCGCGCGGGGTAACGTAATAATATGTAATTTCATGTTATAATATACAGGGCGATTCGCTCAACTGGAAACGCTCATTACTCTCAGAAACTATTAACTTTTTTTTGAAATTTTTTAAATTTGAAAAATTTAGAATTAAATAGTTCTGAAATGTTACGTTATCATTTTTTTTTTTTTTATATCCTTTATTTTGCAGGGTGAAATGACTGCCTACTTTTGATTTTGAAATAGCAACCTATTTTTAAAATGCCGTAAATAGACGGAGTATTGTTTAAAATAAATGTTGGTGTAGAAAATTTTGATTTCCGTCAACCCGTTGACGAGGTATTCTACTTTTAAGTATTGGTTGGAGGAGAGTAGTGGTGTATTTTTAATACGCCGCGCGCCGTACCGCTACAAATTGGTACAAAAAAAAAAAAAAAACAAATTTCGAAAAAAGTTTACACTTTCTGAGATAATGAGTGTTTCCAGTTGAGTGAATCACTCTGTATAATGTGTAACGAAGAAATGCTAGATATTTATTGTTCGCGTGGATACCTTCAGAGTTTTTAACGAATCCTTCCTAGATTTTATTGTCTGTTGGAGATATGTTTTTTTCTTATATCGCAATAACATGTCATCGTTGTACTCCTCATTTATTGTCTTCAAAAACGCCCATTTTTTTAATCTGAAAAACACTATGTAATATATAAGTACAATAAACCAGTGGCAATCAAATGATTTTTATCATAATGGAGGAGGTAAGGGATCGCTTTTATATTTATTATTAATTATTATTAAGATTGTTTTAGATTCGGTACGTATTAGTTTCACTATAACGTGTGAACAACTTTTCTACCAAAAATCTTTTGGTAATTGGATAATGGAGTCTGTTGCAACTACTGCTATAGGTAATTTAATGTATATCTGTAAGCAACGATAAACGATTCTGAGCGCAGTTTAATTGATAATGATACTTTGCCAACAATATACATGTAATATTATGCTAAAATAATTATATAGGCGTTAAATATTTTCTTTAATTTGTTTAATATTGTACCGATTTTTTCGTTTTTCTGTGTTTTTTTCCGGTTTTCCTATGTTTTTCCCGGTTTTTCACATTTACTCGGAAAACTCGTGGAAAAATCAAAAAATAACTTCTTTAAAGAACCTCTCAAGTCAAATTTCCTTTTAGAAAAAGTGCTATCATAGTAAATCGGAGCAAAATTGCTGGTAGAAAAGTCGTACACAGTAAAAAGAATGCCATAATATTTTACTAATGTATTTTGTACATTTTCCGTTTTTCCGACATTTATTCCCGTTTTTTCCCAGGTATTATGAAAACCGCTTAGAAAATTCAAAAATCACCTCCTTAAATTGCCATGGATATAAAATTTTCTTTCAGAAAATAAGCTACACTTGATATATCAGAGCATGATTTTTGGTAGAAAAGTTTACACAACAAATCGAGTGGTGTTTTGTGATTAAAATACAACTAGTCCGAGCGAGCGATGGCTTGGGCTTTGGGCACACCCAAAATGCATTGTTTTTTCTTGTTTAGATAAAAGGAAAACAATGCTAAAAATTCCTCTTCAAAACAGGGAGTTCAATTCGCGAACCCTAAGATGAAAATAGGTATGTATTATAACCACACACCTACGAAAAATATGCTTTAGAGAAGACAATATTTAGTTTTTTAACATAAAATAATATAATAACCGCATAATATCAGAACTTTAAAAAACTATAATTTCAAAACTTAGTCATTTAGGTAGTAATAGTTCATACAACTCTTTTTTCAGCCGTTCGGTTTCAACCATATTGTTCTCTTTCCAAACAACAGATTGTTTTTTTTTTTTCTCCAAGAACTTCTCTAGTTCGGTAATTTCGTTTTCAAAATCACGAATGTAAATAAACATTTCTTGTTTATTTTTTGTCCTTGATAAAATAACAATATAATTTATTATAATACATCAAACATTGCGTAAGAAGATACATGAAAAATTTGTTACCTACAATGGCGTAGCTAGATGGGAAAGAGCCCCGGGACAATTAAAAATCCAGGCCCTTTAATTAATATAATCTTTATGAAAATTTGAATTTATATTTATATTTACTTGTAACATTGATTTTAAGTGTAAATGCACTTACTATGGAACCACAAATAAAAATAATAAACAGATAACTATTAAACAAAGTAAAAGAAAATCCAGTTTACTATAATAGTTTGTTATACTATACAAATTATAAATATTAGTAATTATTCTATTTAAATAATGATTTTGATTGGAATTGCCACATAAGATTTAAAATATTCATTATTAAATACATCAAAATTTTCAATTATTTTAAGGAATTAATTTCAGCTCTGGAGTCCCGGGGCATTGCTTTATGATAGCTACGCCACTGGTTACCTAGGCTCTTATAAATATAATAATGTTATAGGTACAACCTAATAGTCAGTTTAGCGTTTGGGCTTAGGATAGTTTCCCTCGAGGTTTTTACGAGTATACAGGATACTTATCACATATATCAGAATCACAATATTTTTCTAGAAATGTTGATATATGTGTATATAGCACTTATATCAGATTTACCGTTTACGAGTTAACTAGAGTCTGGTTTTATATGCATCAAAAATTGATAAAATATTTTTAATATCCTAAAAATATTGTTATAAAAAATAAAATAAACGGTTAATTACTAAAATAGTAAGACTTAGTCAATAAAGTATTCTCGGTATTCTAGTCGACGCCACGATAATCGTATCTATTATTTTCGGGCATGTATCAGTTGCCTCCAAAAGTACCTATTTTTATATTAATTGCCTTCAAACTATCTAAAGTAAAAGTCCTAATTGCTCTCAACCTTGTATTAGTTGTCTCTAACATACAATAAAAATAATATTTTAAATGTAAATAATTGGCATACACTATATTTTGGCAAAAAAAAAAAAAAATCACATAACATATTGTTATGTATTCAATAAAATAGATTTTTATCTACTAAAACGTACCTATCTAAATTATTATCTATAATTACCATGATTAATAAAAATAAAGATACACACGATCGAAGTGTAAAATTCAGGAAGGACAGCCTTAATTTGTATTAATAATCGAACACTTGTATTATTTGTATTTTCAAATAATTTTAAAGTTATTATGATATAATATTAAATTTTACACTTATTAAGTAACTAATTGAAAACAAATTGCAATTTTATTTTATTTTTCCCAAATTAATCAATAACTTTTTCTGCTAAATTAAGCAGAAAAACTCTTTTCCTATGTAAACTGTTAATTTTACATTATGTTTGTTAAAACATGAACGGATAAACGATTATCACCCTGTATTACTATAATTTTTTATCTCGTTAACGTAGTTTTGAACGTAATAAAAAATGTCATCACCAAAATATAATTAAGCTAAAACTCCGTATGTTAATAGCATTTTTAATATAGGTTACCATTAAAAAATAAAAGGGGTAAATCGTTTCATTCCTAAAAAAAAGGAGCTACAAAAAATAAGGATAATATAACATTTTAGAGCTACTTGCTCTAAAATGTTAAAAAAAAAAATGCATGCTTTCCGAGAGATCACAATTAGTATATCTTCGTGAGACATCCTGTGTATACTATTTTACGTTTTTATTGTTAACTACAATTCTGGATTTGTTTTCCACTCTTGAAAGAACGTTTCCTTCATTGAATCTTATAAAAGCGATGGTTAGTCATGGTTAACATACATAAAAAAGAAGCCATTAATCAAAATTATATAATTACTGCTTTTACTCAAAATTTTCGAAGGATATGATGAAACTGTTGGAAAGGAATAGGTATAGATAAAAGTTATGTCATATTATATTCTTATTTCAGTGTCTATTAAGTTTATTTCATATACATTTTAGTTTAATGTATTACATCGAAATGTATAATTATGAAAACACTTTTGTTGGCGATTCGAAACCCTCACTGTTATCCTCACCCACGTCTCAAGCAAAAATACATTTAGCCTCATTTCAATTCAAAATACTGGCTACAACGCTGGCATTTATTTATTTTTATTGCTCGACATATTATAATCGAACATAGTGCAATACTATGATACAAATATTTTAAATAGGTAGGTATTGTGATATATTAAATACTTGAATTCATTTGAAATAAAAACAATACGAATAAGATAAAATACAATTATTAGTACCGGAACAATTATAACAAAATATTATTTTAATTAGGCAAATTAGATGTTTAATTACCTAATAACATTATGCAATAAATTATATACCTGTCCATCTATCACATTCCGTCCACGATCATAAATATAAATCAATATAATTATACCATTATAAACCTATACTAAAATATTAAATCCCGATTTCACAGTCTTATTTCATTTCTATTATAGTATGAAATTAGAAAGTAATTACAAGTTGACATTTTCGAGTTAACTTTTTGTGGTTATTTTAACGTTTTTATTAAATAAATACGTACTTACTCAATTCGAGCTCTATAAAAGTTGGCCTCCCGATAAGCGTTTTTCACTTGATTGTCGTAATATTTTTTTTCTTTCTCGTATTCTAAGACTTTTTCGTCATATTCAATTATATTCTTCTGAATTTTGTCCTCTAACAACGCTATATCGGTTTTGTTTAATTCGGTTTCTTCGGACATACGTTTAATGCGAGCGGTATGTTCCTTGTCTTTGTTAACATCGTTGTCCCTAACGATCCGGCAAAACGTGTTAATCGCATCGTAGAAATCGCGATTGACTTTCGATATCTACAGTGTCACATAATAAATAATAATAGTTCAATAGTTTAAACTATCTATATATCGGCGCGTAAAAAGGGTTGCACTAATGACTATTGCATAAGCCGCAGTAAAACATATGTATATATTACAGTTAAAACCCGAAATCCGACAAAATTAGTTTCCACAAATCCCTTTAGTCAATTCTAGTTTTGACTAGTTAAAACTTGAATTAACTAAGACCTTCACCGGTAAAATTAGGTTTAACTTATTTTTGTTTAGTTAGAACTAGTTGCGTCTGAAAATCTGAAATATATTGGTGAAAATTAGAATTTTCTAGTGAAAATCCGTAATTTTTATTTTGATAGTTTAAATTAGGAAAAAGTAGAAATAAGTACATTTTAGGATAATTACAATAGGCATTTATTTTATTATTTATTTTCATAGGATAAACTATCATGACATTTTGAATTGCATAATATTCTATTTTTCTTACATAAACAACGATTTGTTCTGTAAGATTTCTTACGTGTGCATCTTACAAAGCCTTGCCCTGACCCTGTCGAGACAAACACGTAGGTATAACGACTACAGCGAAGATAACGAACTGACAAAACTGAAAACGAGGGGACAAAAGCTATTGCAGCCGAATTATTATCTATTAGGTATAATCGGTTGAAGTTATTGTATCTTAAAGTGATTTAATAGACGACTGGTTAAAGTTATCCTAATTGATTTAATAGTCAGCCAGTCGAATTTATAGAGCAATGTTTAGAGATCACCTGTGATTGCGTGCGTGTTAAATAGTACAGGTTGGAATATATGCATTCCAGAAAAAACTAGTAATTAATTTTAGTTTTAATTAGTCAAAACTAGAATTGACTAGGGTTTGTGGAAACAAGTTTTGACGGATTTTGGCTTTTAACTGTAACATATATATTTATATATATATAATAAATATTAAGTATGTTCAGGAAAATAAAACTTCTCTAAAACTGCATGAACTCTAAAACTATGAATTTTAGATTCTGAGTAGTGACTTGAAATTTTGACAGAAAACTTATATTGGCTTATTCTAGACGTGGAAAATAAAAAAATATTTTTTTAACTATTTAAATGCATTTTACATTTTCTAGTTGTTTTACGTAGTTTTTTTTATTGATATTTACTACGGGAATAACATTTTTTGGCCAAATAGAAATGTTCGAAAAGACGAGGTTCATTATAAGTTGTACTAAGTGGTAAAAAAAGTGTTAGATACATTTATATCTAGTATCTTTTGAAATTAAATAATTGTATCTAGTATCATGTTTAGTTGTTTAGATTACCTAGATACCTTTTCTGTGGTGTATCTTGTATTTCTTTTTCTGTAAAGATTTTTGATACTAGATATAAGTCATGATTCGTTTGTTTTTTCATTCTAATATTATTTACAACAATTAGATTACAATGGTTACATTTGCAAATTTAATATTTCTCAAAAGTAATATGGTATTCTCAAAATAATATTCACGTTTTTTTTTTTTTCATCAATTATTACTAATAATTTAAATTTGTCATTTTTGATATATATTCTGATATTCATATTTTGTTTAATAATAATAATAGAGTATTTTTTGTTCACAATATGTCTAATATATTTTTATTTTTTATTTGATTAAAAACAAAGTTAAAACCTGACATTATAGGTAAACATACTATACGTTTTTATTATTATGTATCTTGTATCTAAATGGGAAGAAAAATAGTTTCTAGTATCTAGTATCTTGTATCTAGATACTTTTTCAAATATCTTGCGCATCCCTGGTCCCCTTGTTCCCACTTTATATCGATGGTATTTTGTTAAAAGGGCGTACATCACTAAAAATCGAAAAATATACGTTTTTGGTATCAACAAAATCAAAACAATTAAGTTGGTAATGACGCCTAAAATATATTCAGGTGCCCTTTTAAAATATAACTAAATCAACACTGATTTGTTAAAAGGGCGTATACCACATTTAATGCAAGTATATACTTTGTGTATAAGGTATTATGTATACGAGTCATTTTTATTGTTTTCCATGATGAATATCACTAAAAATTGTTCTTCTGTTTCTTTACAAAATAGTTATTTTTTCTTCCTGTAAAACAATATTTTATTGGTATACGACCTTTTAACAAAACACCGTCGATATATATTTATTCTATTCACAAATTATTGGTTTTTTCAAAAAAAAAAAAAAAATCATTATTGATCTTTAATATGAGATCTGCGCTATTCGTTTACATATGCTGGATGTATAAACCTTATGCTTTTTATACAAATTTTGTATCGGAAAATCGTAATTGAGTATTTACCCTATAATTTAACGTAAATAGACTATAATGATCATTAAAGAATACAAATCAAGCACTTAATAATGATACAAAATCATTATTTGTACATTGATTTGAATATTTTTGGGCTTATAAACTGCATCTTTTTCAAAAATGTCATTTCAATTGTAAAATGGAACCCCTTAAAATTTAAATATTAAGGCGTGAAACACCCACTTAATATTTATTTTCTTAAGTAACTTTTATAAGCGATGGATAAAATAATAATTATATACCTATACAACCTTTGATGAGTATGTTTTTTTGCAAAATTTCGCCACGTCTCCGTCTCGGTCGAAGTTATCAAACAGCTCACAAAATTCTGCGTAAGCAACGCAGTCACTTGGCGCGCAATCGTTTCTTTGTTGGATAGCACGTAGCTTTTCGGTTAAATTATTGTCTTTATCGTGATTATTCAAGTAGATGGGTAGGGATAACTATAAACGAACATTTTATAATAATATTATTAATACAAATAATACGCAATACATATATTAATTATAATGAATGTGTAATGTTACAACCGATTAGTAGGTATAATCATCCGCTATAGTTAAACTAAAACAGTATAAAAGAAAAGTTGTTGTTTGCTAATTTTAGACCATTCAAACTAGGTGTATAAATCGAAATCGAGAGACTATCATTTATATATTTTTAGAACTTCATCGCCCATCCTCGCGAACTTCCGAAATTTTCTGATCAATATTTAAATAAAACGTTTCCCAACCTTTTTACCACCACGGATCATTTTAATAATTTTTAATAGGTTAGGTAGCGGACCACCTCAATTGAAGGGCTCCCTGTAACAACCAGATAAGTCCACTTTTCAAAATTGTTCAGGAGAAACAAAATTGTAAATAATTATTATTTCTATAATAATGGAAACAAATTTTTCTTCACTAATAACGTTTTATACACATACAACTACAATGTATTTGTTAAACATAATAATTCTAAAAATCTACATAAAATTACCAACATGTGGACTTACATAAGTGTAAAATAGTCAAACAAAATTTAGGAACATAGTGTCCATCCCTAAGATTAATTTAGACTACAATTCACATGTTTATATTGATATTAGGTATGGTTTATTACAAAATCAAATAATATATTATCCAAAATACTACATGACAGACCAACATATTGTATAAAATAAAAATAATGTCAAAATAAAATAACAAAATGTTATATTGTAAATATTCGTATATCAGTTCATAAGAAAATTAATCGCTGAGAAAGCTCATCCAATTGGAGTTGTACACTCAGTATAAATACGTAAAAACGTAAAAATTCGATTAATCTCATAATTATTACTTAATACTAATACTGATACTTATAACTAAATATTTGAGAAACTATGTTTCGATGCAATCGGTAAACAATTAATAATAATATTTAATAAATCGTTATTTAATGGTATTTAATAAATACTTTTATCAAAGTAATAAACCTTTGGTATCTACACACTTATAAAAGTTGAACCTACTAATCGATCGTCAGCAGTAATAACGATAATAATATTATTCATTACTTTGGTAAACACTTTTAAAAGTGAAAAAACACAATGGATATTATATTTTTTCGTAATTCTTTTTTTTTTTTTTGAAATGAACGAGCCAAAAAAAGAAGATAAAATCTATGGGACCGTGGACCACCTATGACAGGCTCACGGATCACCGATGATCCGCGGACCACTGGTTGAGAAACACTGCATTAGACAATTCAAGATTAAAAAAATAATGACTGTATAAAAATAAACTTACAGCAAACAAAACATCAGAAGGAATTAAATCCAAAAATAATTTAGACTCATCGGCCTTACCAGTCAACTTGGGTGAAATTTGAATCTCTTTATCCATAGTTACTTTTTTATTTTTGATGTTAATTTACAAAAATAATTCAATGATGTGACAATACTATTTAAAATAATAATAAGAATAAATATTGCTGATGTAAATATAGATTAATAATCCAGCAGAGTGCTATGGAAACTCATATCATGTTACAATGCTTTTTTTAGCTTAGTTCTATTGTTTTTTCTAATTTTTCTGATTATTTTTGGTTTTTTGTATACCTTTGCTTAATTATGACATGTACCACTGACAAAAACCTAAATATTTTAGTTAGTTTCTGAGATTGGTTTTTACTATGACTTGTATTATTTATTTATTTTTTATTTTTTATGTCTGTAAAGAAAAACTTTTTTAAAAATAATTTTTTAGATAGTTGGATGAGTAAATTTGAGCATACAAATAATTTTGGGACCGGATGTTGAAAGTTGAAACCCTCAAAAGCCATGTTCTTAGTACTTTCACCTGACATAAAAAATGTATACAAAATTAAATCACTTCAGTCTGTCAATAAAACGACTCTTACTTTCTAGTTTGAATCGCTAAAAATGTCCAATGATACCAAAATGATAGTAACTACCCCCTTTAAATTCTTTAATATTAATTTTGGTAGGTGTTTTTAATAAAGTTTAATAAAGAATAAATGGGCAATTCCTTAAACTGTGGATACTTTGATAAACTTTTAAGGAAATTATCTAAAGCAATGTGAGTAATATAATTTCGAATAGCCCATTTAGCAATAGTTAAATTGACCCCCCCAACATTTGATGAAATCATTATTATACTTATTATCAGAACTAGATGATGAATACATCGAAGCAGTAAGAACTGTTGCAGCTTGCTTTCTTCTGTGATACTGGTTAGATTTACTTATGTTAACTTTAGACCTATTAAGAACACAACCAAAACAAAACCTATTATTATCTGTATTAGTAGATACTATATAGGTACTGTCTATAGACTATGTAATAAACATTTCATCAGATATTAATATAATAACTACATAGGTATTTAAATATATTAATTTATTCTACTTAGCATTTAATTACAAAAGTAATAAAATGTTCCAAGCATTTTAAAATAAAACAAAATTATAGGTAGGTACCTACATATTATTTGAATCCAAATTTAGTATAATATATATAATTTCTAAATAAAATTACCTAATTAAAATATGATATCATGTTATTAAAACAAATTTAATATACTATAGTACAGCACTATTTGGTAATGAAATTAGTGGTTTCAGAAGCACCACCTCATATAGTTATGCCATATTGCCAGTTTTTTGTTGTTGGGCGAACCTTTATCAAACTAACAAGATATTTTCCAAAATTGACATCCGATTCATCTTATTAATTAAATACATCAACAGGTACTGTAGGTCTTAATTCATTAATTAATTCCCTTTGACAGTCCTCATTATTATTTAAACATAATAGTATTTTACTATATCGGTAATAAATTATTTTAAAGAAAGATTAAAAAGTTTACAATCTAATACAATATATTAATTATATTAATTAAATATAATTTGATACTTGATTTTCTTTTTCCTGTTTCAGAAAATTTAAATTTTTCAAAATTCTTAGTGTATCCAGAACTTTTAGAACAGTTTTCCAGATCCAAATACTTGTTATCCTATAAATATTGTAAAAAAAATAAATACACACTGTTCATTGAAAATGAAATTTTTACTTTTTGTCATGTGTCACAATATCTTCCAAGAATGGTAATTCGATAAAATGTATCCAGTTTTTCTTTAGGCCTCCTTTTGATCAACTTTTTGGTTTTTGCCTTCGCGTACAAATTTCTATCTGATATCTCCCCCTTCTTTGAAATTTTTCTATGGTAAATTGACCTTTCAACAACACATTAAATGGGTTATGCATTTTTTTTTTTTATTTAAATAGATTTATAATATATTTGCAAGTGAACTAATGTCTATTTATTTAATTATTTTTTAATAAAATTGAAATTGTAAATCCACCTTTTAACTAGAGCCGATATTGGTACTATCGGTATGTATAGATCCCCTATTTCGACCACCTTATCACTCTGGTGATGAAATTTATGATTTTATTATTAAAATTTTGTAGAAATTGAATATTAACATGAATAATATTTATTTATTTGTCCACGATAATGCTCCAAATAATGGTAAAGCTTTTCGTGATAGAAATTTTGAATCTATTTTGTGTACTTCTCACATATTGCAATTGGCAATTTATATTTTAATTTTTGAATTTTATATATTATTTTTATTTATTATGAAAAAAAAAAATTTATTTGGAAATAAAATAAGTAACAAGTATATTGTTTTATAATTATTAATTATTTTTATGTTTCAGACAATTAATGATGTACTTATAAAGGAAAAACAACATAATGCACTGTGTAAAAATATCAGATCAGTGGTTGGTCACTTTAAGCACAGTATTCGAGCTAATAAATTGTTGAAAAAATTTTAGTCTGAAAATAAAGTTTCTACCCATAAGTTTATACAAGATAGAATAGTACATTCTTAATTCTCAATCGATATTTAGAACAAAAAAAAAGTGTGTTGGGCTTAGCTACATTTATTAATTGGGATGTAACATTTTCTAATTAACTATTGGACCATGAATTAGTTAAAATTTTAGAAATATTTAATTCTGCTACTGTTACATTATCAAATAAGAATTTTACACTGTTTGAAATTATTCCATTACTCACAAGTATTATTGTATTGTCAGTAACAATAAAAGATGTATCAACTACGTGCAATGAAACAGCAAATGCATTTATACTCATATTAAGAAACCGATTTATTGACTTAAAACAAAAGAACTTCTCTCAATCAGCACTTTACTTGATCTAAAATTCAAAGATAAAGCATTTTCTTGTTGCAGACATAGGAAGCAAGCAACAAATTGTTTATTAAACAAACTAAAATTTGTTTATCAAATGATGTGCCTACATGAAAATATTGATCCGACTGTTTCCCAGACAGAACATCAAACAGTTCAAACCACAAATAAATCCAAAATCACTATATTCTTTATAATTTTACCTGAAGAAATTTCAAATGTCGAACAAAATACACTAGATATAGAAATGAACATGTATTTAAAAGAACTATTAAATATTAATGGAGATATCTTTCAATATTGAGCAGATTCAAAATTCAAAGTCCTCAAGATTTTAGATTAGCTATTTCAAATTTTCAATGGATATAATCAACTTATCAAATTCAAATAAAAATTAAAACATTAACCACGCGAGCATATTATGATATTCACAATTCTATATTATATATAGAGTATAGAATATATAGTATATATTTTATATCAAACATAAATATCTGTGATAATATTATAAATGAAAAAAGAACAATTATTACAAAATTTTATTACCACATTCAACTTCTTGGTATAGACGGCGTACCACAAATATAAAAATGTAGTACCTGGTATCAACCAGACTGTTAGGCCAATCAGAATATGTAGATAGTGTTGTGCACGGTGTATAGGAAATTTCAAATTTTTAAACCCAGCCTTATTATTTATAATTTAGTGATGTCTCACGCACAGTGCGTTGTCCCTATAAATAAAGAAAAAAGAAAGGTTTGTGCATACCCACTACCTTATTTCTATTTAATTTCTATACTACACACTATTATAGTAATTTAATAAGTTAAAATAGTTGACAATTTGATATTTAATTTTGTTTTAACTTTAAACCTTTATACCGTTTTCAAATATGGAAGTACTGTAAGTATTATTTATTATTTAACCACTCAAATTGACAATACTTAAATTATAAAATCATTATTTAAGAGCTAGACGCTCAATTTATGAAAAAATTGATTGTCTCTATATCAAAAACCATTCATAATACTGAATGACTGATTATTGGTTGTGTAAACACAAGAAGTTTGATTTTTAAATTGTTTGACAATAAAATGCGTAGATAATGATCCTTTAAGATGTTTTAAAATAATTGTATGCATTGATTTTATGTGATTTTTTTCCCCTATACTCTTATTTCAAATTTTTCAAATACTTTTTAATACCAATGTATTAATTATAACTAATAGTTAATATTGTATAGAAAGCCACAGCCTATGCAGATTTATTTATAGGAGAAAATATTGAAGTTAAATGTATGTTTTAGGTAGGTATGTTTCCAAAAGCAATCGTGTAAAACTTTATATTACCTATATTTAAAATGCCGAAAATGGTTTCAAATAATTTTTTTGTTAAAAAAATAAAAGAAAGTTATATATGAATTTACATAATAATATATAAACTAAAGAAAATTAAAATACTGAATCATTAGCATATTCAGTAATTTTTGTTTCTATGTTAACTTGTCTTCAAAACCCTGATAAACTAAAAATATTGCAGGTATACCTATGTAGATATTGGTAATTGTAAGCCATAATATAAATTGAAATACAATTTTTACTGATGAATATATGTATGAACCAAAATCTGTTTAATATCGACCAAAAATCGTATATATGCCAATATTAAGGTATGTGATTATGGGATATTGTTTTTTTTTTTTTAAACCTATATTAGACACAATATTTTTAAAACAATTTTTTTGCTTTAATAATTCAAATCAAAGAATAATTGTAAATAATAAAAGTTTAAAAAAAAAACATTAACAATATTGGTAAATATTGAGTATGTGTTTTTAATAAATCAATTAATTTCAATAACTGCTCACAGTTTTTGATTTCAAATATCAGATCGGTTATCAGTTATATATTTGTAGTAAATATTTCAATATTTGATATCAGAAAACAGTCATATCGGGCTCACTATTAAAAATTGTATTTATTTATATGAGGTATTCCTAGACAGTTCAATAAACAGAATAACTTTAGTTCTGTACAATATTTAAACACTTTATCATTTTTTATAAGTAAAGCCCTGCATTTTGATTCTCATATTTTATATTTTTGTTTAAACTATTAAAAAAAATTGTTTTTACAAAATTTAAGATACCTAGCCATTTTATAAATAGATTTATATTATAAATTATATTATTAATTAATTATTTTATATTAATGTATTTATAAAAGGCTGGGTATCTTAGATTTTGTAAAAACAATTTTTTTTTTTTATAGTTTAAACAAAAATATAAAATATGAGAATCAAAATGCAGAGCTTTAGTTATAAGTAATAAGTTATAAACATATTGAACAAAAAGGCTTTTGTCAAATATTTTTGAAATATAACTCATGCACCTATTTGTTTAACATACATTATATTATTTATTATAAAAATAATTTGTCCAAGGTCTCTGCGATTGTACATTGACAATTTAACAAAAAAATTGGAGTTATACTTGTTAAAATGTCTTGACAGACCAAACCATTATAGCAATTATTTTTATAATAATTTGTACGTGGTGCCACATTCCGAGTTGGAAGTAAGAGATCAATCAATATTATTTATTGAATTGTATAATATTATTTTTAAATTTATATTTTAGAAAGGCCATGAGACTTGCTAGAATAAAAATCAATTGGATCAGTATTTATTTCAATCTGAAGATGTAGTTCTTCCAAACATTCCTACAACTGCTAATAATAGTAATAAATATAATAAGCTTAAATTATTCTATAATCAATGAATAAGCCATTTCTAAAATTTACATTTCACATTATACCCTATTTCAAAAGAGAATATACCGCTTTCTTAATCAATTTTTATTTGGTCACGAAAGAGGTATATTCTCTTTTAAAACAGGGTATAGGTATAAATTGATATTAATTTATTAAACGTGTATTTTAAGTACACTAAATGTTGATATTTCTTTTAATTTCTAGCCAGATGAAAATAAAACTGATGTGTTAGAAACGATAAAACAAATTCCAAATTATATGAAATCCACAATTGGTCTTACTAAGTCTCAGCGTAAAAAATACCGCAAACAAGCATATTAGAATTTCAGTAATGTTGATTTGTCTTTTAATCAAGATGTAACTATAAATGAAGTAAGTATACACCCTCAAATATTATGCTAACATTTTGATTCATGTTTTGAAATAAAGTAGCTTTTAACATTTTATCATAAAATGTTTATTAAACTATGATACAATGTTCAACTTTTTTAGTTTTTACTATTTAGTTAACCTTATAAAAACCTCATAATGAAATTTATGACAATTGTTTTCATTACCACTAGTAAATTATACTAGTAAATTATTTTGAAACACATTTTAATTCAAATGTGAACTGTGTACTCAATGTAAACAACTAAATTTAAGATAACATATATATTTACTAGCTATAGTAGATAATAAAATAATCTCGCATTTCATAATATGAATGTATATAATACAATAAAACTAAATTAAATTAAATTAAACATAAATTTGTACAAACTAATGGAATTAAAATAATTAGATTTTAAAAATGAATTATTAATTTAACAGTATTGAAGCATTAACAAAATGAATATCTTATTATGCTATAATGGTTCTTTACAGAAATAATATTAATATAATTATGTATTATTTGATATATATATATATTTTTTTTTTACACCCTTTCATAAAAAATTGAACAGTCAAACCTATTTATATGTTAAATTTATTACTATTAGAATACACATGTAGAACATAGGTATTTATTTATTTTATATTTTCAATTATTATACAAATTTATCTCTTTGCCATGACAATGAAAAAGTTTTGTATGTTTTACGCACATACATTGCAGAATGAAGGAAAAGAAGACATTCTTCTTGCCTTGGTAGATTTGACCAGTTAAATTTTCCTTTGACAGGGTTAAATTCTTAAAAAGAAATTGTTTCTCTTTAATACCTACCATTTTACCTAATTTATATCTATTTATATCTAATTGATTTTACTAAGCTCATTGTTATCCATGGTTTAATTTGTCTTCTATTTGATGGGAAATAATTATCCTTCATTCTTAAAGAATTCAGAAATATCAAATTCATTTAAAACTGAAAACCAATTTTGTTCTGTTAAAAATGAGATTAGTAATCTTTTGTTAATTAAAGGTTTTTTATAATAATAAATTTTACTGTACTATAATTTTTCTTTTATGCTTTTCTGTTTAACAATTAATATTATACTATAACGATAATTGTTATGAGATTGATATGCAACAAGAATTAATTTTTTCAAATCAGTACCTATTGTTTCTATAAATATATGATCAATAGTGGAGCTGCAGGAACTGGTGTTTCTAGTGATATCATTAATTAATGAATTTATCATTATTATTAATAATTAAATTCAAACATTCCTATTAAGTATCATCTTTACTACTTAACAATGTATTAATATTATATATTCTGTTACTATAATTTTATTTACTGAAAAATATTTGATAATATTTTTGTTAATTGGGTTTACAATTCTAAAAAATCATTATTATGACCTCTGTAAAGTGCTATTATTACACAAATAGTCTCTTTAAAATTAATGTTAAATTATAAACAATTACAGTTATCAATAACTATCTTATTCACATGGTTAACTTTATGCTTAGTATTAACATACACGACTAAACTACTATTTTGGTTAAAATTATTACTATAAGTTTTATATAATTTGAAACTTTAAATATACTAAATATTAATATTAGTTAGACAACATCGGAGCCAGCATTCAGATAAGACTATACAATCAATATATTATTATATAATATTATCTAACATAGGTAACCAAATGATTGATTCAATTTTTTTTTTGAATTCATCTTATGTTAACATGGATAATTGTAAAGCCTTTATTATTAATTATTAATGTTTTAAGAGTGTTTATATCTAGAAAAGTATTATCATTGAAATTTTCATGATTATCAATTAAATCATTAATAGTATTATTAATTTATATAATTTATAATTTAACGATAATTTTTGTGGTGCCTATTATAAATTATCCCAAATTTTTTCATTCCTAATTCAATAAACTCTGGATTGTTTGTTCTTGTGTACAATGATATCTGAATTATTTGTCTCCACAAATTTAAATCTTTTATCATTTGATATTTGTTTTGATTTACCAAATAGAACTCTTTCATATTTTGTCAACTGGTCATTGTATGTCTTTATATGTGTATATAATTTGTGTAAAACCATTATTAATAATTTTAAGTTATATATAATTGTCGAAAAAAAAAATATTTATTGTTTTGTTATAGGTGGAATAAAAATTAATTTTATCGAAAGAAGCAGACAAACATTTAGAAAATGTTACTGGTACTTAGCTGGTTAAAATTAAAGAAAGAATGAAATCTTTAAATACAACTTGTAATTTATTATTATTATATGTAATCATAATGTTATTATATATAATCACATTTATTACAAACATTTTTTAAATTTTAATATCAATGTTGAATGATTTTTTTTAATAAAAAGGAGAGACATTTTTTTATTTTATTCATAAATTGTATTATATTATAGGTTAGTAATTATACCTATATTATAAATTGTTATAATATTTTAACATTTTTTTGTAAAGGTATGACTTTATTAATCTTAACTATAAAATATTAATGTTAAATAATTTTCCAATAAAAAGGACAGATTTTTCTTTTTATTATAAAATATGTTTTATATTGTATTCATATATTTCATTATACTATCAATATTATAGAAGATAATTTTTTTTTAATAAACTAATGATTTTTAATCTTAACTCATTTTATTTAATCATTAAAAAGAATACATGTTAATCCCAAAATATATATTCCTTTAATATCTTTCATATTAGTATCTTTCAATTTTAGTGAAATGAACTGGAAATGTTTTTTGGATACTGTCTGCAGATATCTAATGAATATGTTTGTAGATATATATGGTATTATCTAAGTAATCTGAGGTGAGACATAATAAGTTGCTAATAATATTCCTTGAATATCTAAGGTATAATCATGCATACAACAATTCTAAAAAATATAATCATATCTTAAGATGAAAATATTGAATACTATGTGGGCACACCCTCAACATAAATAGATGATATCAGTACAATTTTGTAAATTCAGAATTGAATAGAATTGAAGAATGAACAAGTTTGGTTAAGATTTTTGTCAAATAGTTTCAATTATTAGGCTCTTTCAAAAATGACATAAATAAAAAATAAAACATTGTTAATGCCCGTTTAGTTCACAAAAAAATGTACATATTAGGAAAAACTTATTTTAAAATTCATTGTTATGTACAATTTTAATGTAATGCGGTTTAAAATATTGTCTAATACTAATAACAAATAACTATTTATAATGTTACCTATTGTTTTTAAAATGTTAACTTGTAGTATTGTGTGTTTCAAATCTATATGCAAGTATTATGCTTTATTGTTGGTTTAAAAGCTATTGACACTATTAATTAATTGAATTATCTAAAAAATTGTTTACTATCAGCAATATCTTAATGGATAATAATATATTTAATGACTACCATTTATTATTGTTACTACTTAAGTAGGTACTCTAGAGAAATGATCTTAACCAAAACTATCAAATTAAAATACCTACCTACTGAGTAGTTTGTATATAAGTTGAATAAAATTAAACATTTGATATATACTGATGGCTAAAACAATATATTTAACTATATATTATTTATAACAATATATATAATATAGAGAATCATTATTAATAATAAGATAAAAGTATAAAAATAGTTTAGATCTAGAATGAAGCAAAGAAACTTATGGTTTTACAAAGATGTTTTTTTTTTTCTGTGGACAACTTTTCTATCAGCAATTTTTCTCTTGTATTTAATGTTAGCAATGTGACTGAAAGGAAATTTCACTGTCACTAGTGAGGTACAGTGTCCGCCCTAGAGGGGGAGCGGTGAGGGCCCCGCAAATTTTGTATTTCGAATTTCACTTTATCTACAAATAATCACAATAATATTATCCCAATATTAAGCAAAATTCGACCCATGTATCGTGTGGTTTTCTTTAGGAGACGAGTTGTTATTGACGAAAATGAAATTGGTATCAATTATATATATTGTCGGGTTGGATAAACGATAAATATCTAGTTATCGAATTGATAACATCGTAATCGGTTTGATAAAAACATTTTTATCTGTTGCAAAATCGACTTCTATCGAATCGACAAATAATGATTCATATTGTTTGATAAAGACATTTTTATTTGTTGCAATACGACTTCTATCGAATTGACAAATAATGATTCATATCGTGTGATAAAGACATTTTTATCTGTTGCAAAAACGACTTCTATCCAATCGGCAAATAATGATTTATATCGTTTGATAAAGACATTTTTATCTGTTGCAATACGACTTCTATCGAATTGACAAATAATGATTCATAAGGTGTGATAAAGACATTTTTATCTGTTGCAAAAACGACTTCTATCAAATCGACAAATAATGATTCATATCGAATCGATAGGTTAGAGGCTCGATTTTGGTTCGATAAGTATATAAGTTAAATAAGCCAAAAGCTAATAAAAATATGAATTAATAAAATATTGATTGTACCTAAGTAGGTACCTACTCATTTTGTGTCTAATATAAAAATACAAATTTGATTTTATTATTTTGTACAAAGATATACAAATTTAGATATCTAATAAGATCTTATAGTTTATAAAATTCTATCAAAATAAAATAGGTCCGTTAGTAAGTAAAATAGATAAATATATATATATATATATATATATATATATATGGGACCCCAAAATCTATCGGGCCGATACTGGGGATGTACTTAAGAGAGGTCATTTTTCGATTTTCTCAAGAGTTCTCTCTTCAAATTTGAAAAATCAAAAAAAAAAAAACTGAGGAAAATCGGGAAAATATAAGAAATGTAGGTATTAGTTCAATTATATTATGGCTTTCTTTTTTCTTGTAAACAATTTTTTTACCAGTAATTTTGCTCAAATTTTTAATGATAGCAATTTTTCCAAAAGGAACTTTCAATGGGGACGTACTTTAGAGAGGTCGTTTTTCGATTTACTCTGGAGTTTTCTCAGCAAATGTGAAAAAACGTAGGAGAATTGGGGAAGTCAGTATAACATTAAACAAATATTATTAAAGAAAATATGTAAAGCCTATTTAATTATTTGACTATAAAATGACAAATATATTGTTGACAAAGCCTCAACATCATCTGAACTCCGCTCAGAATCGTTTTTTCGTAAGGTTTATCTTTGCTTACAGGTATACATTAAATTATCTATAACGGTGGCTACACCCGTCCTTATTATCTTAGGACGTTTTTTTTTTTTAATTTAGCAATATATTTACAGAACTTGATTAGGATATACTTGTGTACAAGTTAAATACAAATTAATTTAAATAAAGAACTCAAAACACTTATCTAATCATACTTTATTTAATACCTAATTAATGTTGTAGTTTATTTAGTTACAGATGTTTAAATGTACTTAATTTGAATACATTTTATTCGGAATGTTCGGAATGTTTAAATTTTTACATCTACTGAGTACCTATAAACATGTATGCAGTCATGAGACCATGCATTGTGGACGCTTTATTCAATAAAGGACAAAGTTTTTTTTTGCATATTCGAGAATTAATTTCATGGATTAGGGAATATTTACAATATTAAGCATATTTGTATCAAATTAAATTTCGGTAGAAATATTTTTTTGAACAATGACAATAGATTTTTGAAGTTAGATAGGATAGTCAATAGACAAATTGAGAAATTACGATACAATTTCAGGAGCTGGGTTGGAAACATTGGTACAAAATTGAACGTTAGCAAAAGAATTTTAAGAATGGGTTAAAAATTAATTTTAGGAGTTATGTAGTCAACTTATTAAAATAATAGAAATATAATTACAGGAGGTGAATAGGCAACATTATATAGAAATTCGGGAACCACCGGGCTTTCTTATCACAATTCATCGACCATCTGTACGTACGCGCCATGAACATTATGGGTCGTATTATTGTTTTTCTGTTTTCTGAATTTAACTGGTGTTTTCACATTAATCTCATTTGATCGTGAAAAATTATCGAAATCTGGTTACTGCTGAATTATCGTCACCGTATCGTTTATCTATTCACTGCTTATAAGTATATCGTGATAAAGTTGAAATCTTTCTTAAAATCAGGTTTATATAATTCATAGGTGTTTTCAGTGTTCTAATCAAGTAATCTATTATATATGCTTAATTTATTATTTATCGTTGCTAACCGTCTAGTTTGTTAGGTGGGTATTATAAATGATCGTGGATCTGTATCTATTGACTGTTGTGAAATTGTGTTACTTGTACCAATTCGCTAACTTTGTTATCACTGAATCAATAACTGGTGTATTATACTGATAATAGGGTACAGACCATTAAGCAGGACCTTATACAGTTGAGGACCACATTGAAACAGAACAGGAAATACTCACCATGTTCGGTGTGCCAAAAAAGCCAAGGTTTCTAAAAAGTCCAGAAGGTTCAGTGCCAAAGTTGATGTTTGATTTATACAAATCTTTACAACAGCATGAAGGGTCACAGGACAGAAAAACTATAAGTGTTTCTAAAATTGGTCAGTATGATGACCGTACCATTCAAGAAAGTCATTATTATCACATTATACCTATTAAACCATTGCAAGTATAATTACCAACACAGATTCTTAAAGACTAGTTTTTATAACAACTTTATTTAACATTTACCTATCCTTTTATAGGATATAAATATTAGTTGTATTTTTTGTGCATCAAAAACAGTAATATATAATCTGTATGTTAAAGTAATTTTGATGATGGGTACTTTGTTTCATTCAAAATGACGGGACTTTTTTTATATTTTTAGTAAAGATGTACATTTTATATTCCAGTCATTGATACTATTAGTGTTTTAACATAACTATAGGTATATTCGTTAATAAATATTAAAAACAATTTTGCTTTTATATGTAATTAGGAGGTACCTATCTACTAACTAAATTATAATAAAAATTAAAAACAAAACTTTTAAATTTGTATTATTTATTACTATTATTATTATTATCTATTATTTATTTTCAGTTTCAATGAGTTATGTATGCCATGAACATGGAGAACAAATTTGATTTGATTTAAAAGATGTTCAATCAGAACAAACTCATTTAATTACATCAGCTGAATTTCTTGTATACCAATCTAGTATTAAAAAAAACTATTCAGTGACTTTATATAAAGTTTTGATTTTAAACAGCAGGTAAGTTGTATTATTTGAATATATAAATTATTATCTACCTGAATGCAAAGAGGGTATAGTGTTTACTGTTTTGGTTTCATGTATATATGTATTTGTCTGTGTGAATTTCTATATTTTACTGTAATTAATAAAATCATATTAAAAATTAATGGGATGATTGTAAATAATCAAATCATTTATTATATTATATCTGTACCATTAGTTAAATATGTTAGAAAAAAATCTTCTAAATATGTTAGCATAGTGACATTCACAAGATGTACCAATTCAGTTTCAGACTTGGATCTCAATTGCTTATTATTTTCATCAATTTTGTTCGCATTTCCACATTTATAGTTTTTATTTTACTTTTTTTTTTTAACAGAAAAGAATTGGAATATGTAGATTGGTTGATAGAGTGGTTATGGTTTAAAACAGTAGGAGTTTTGATCTTATGGATTCATTCATATCCTTATTCACTTCCTAGTGAAAGTTAGTAATATAATTAGCAAATAATTCTGAGGAATGGAGTTTAATACTGTGAAAAATGCACATTACAGTAAATTCCATTACTACCATCTCTAATTATTAATAAGTAATCAATATATGTATTTGTTTTATTTTCTCATTGTTTGATAAATCTAAATAAACTTTTAGTTTTAAAAAAGACATTGTTAGATCACAAACCAGAAGAAATTGATATGGTTACTTGAGCGAATAAAATCAGTTGTCCGAATCAATAATACCATTCATGGTAGTTTACTTAAAATCTAGAAATTATGGAGTAATAATTGGTAACCTTTCTCTTCAAAAACATAGACGCAGAAGAAAAACTACCTATAGAATTGAGTTCAAATATTAATCTATTACAAAGTAAGATAAATATATTTGATCAGCTATAATATTTATAATTTGACTTGTTTTTAATAATAGAGTGACATCTCTTTTCCAGTTTTCCCTACTTAATATTATGCATTCTAATTCTTTAATCAGATCAAGTTAAATAATTCATTAAATCTGATTAATTTGATTTACTAATTGGGCCATTTGAGTTGTATAAAAAGTGAGTTAAATAAATATTAAATAAATGCAACTCTGTAGAAGTTTCTATGATGTTCTAATCAATTTCGTTTGTGTATTTATGAAATTTTAAAAATAAAATAAAATGTTCTATTTTAGACATTCAAGATTGTTTTCAATCAAGAATTTGTATTACACAAACATTATATGTGAACTTAAGAGACCTCCATGGGTAGGTGAATAATTTATTTAAATATCACTAAAAAAAAAAAAATTTATTTTTCATTGTGTAAGAAATTTAATTAAATATTAAATTATTAGTTTAAATAGGAAATTACTCAGTGTTAATCACTAACTATTATGAAACTACCATTTTTAGTGTTTTTATGATTGATTATCAAAATTACTAAGAATAGTTAACTATTTATAAATGATGCCGGTTATTTTTGTTTATTATGCTCAGTTGTTACCAGATATATTGTTTGTAAAAAAACAATTTACATCTAATTGTATTTATACTGTTTATATAAACTCATGGTTACCCAATCAAAATTAATATTTTGGAGATTTTAACTAACTTATCCACCTTCAATATTTATATTACTTTTACTTTAAGAATGTGATTACCAAAAATGGTATACAGTATAAACACTTAAAAGTTCATAATTTTAATTAATACTTTTTCAGGATTGGATATTACACCAGATTAGTACATTGCATATTGCACCAGGAAATGTGATTTTTCACTCAATGCACATATGAATGCCACCAATGTGCAATTGGTTAAAAACTTATACATCTTTCAAGATTATTGGGTATACTTAAACCCTATTATGCTCCTAATAAATTGGGATAACCAGCTGTTTGTTTTTTATTCAAAATAACAATATTATATTGAAAAAATATAATAACATGATCATTAAAAGTGTAGATGCCATTAGGAATATATTTTATTTTATTCAATTATTATATTTATTTTTGCTATATACAAATTGTTCCACCAAGATATACCCCTTGGATATCTCCAGAGATGTGGACTACAAGTATTTATATTTGAATAATAATTTTTTATTAAAAAAATTATTTTATTATTTTTGGAAAATTTTAAGATAACTATTCTGTAGAGTTTATTTTTCTGAAGATTTTTATGTATCACATTTTTATATCCAATGAATCGCTTTTAAGTTTAGGTTAGGTTATTTCCTAAATAGTTGGGAAGCCTAGGTACTAAATTAGATACTAAATCAGTAGAATTTAAAACGACTGTTACTTATAAATAAATATGGGATATAAATATGTGATACATTAAAATGTTCAGAAAAATAAACTTATATATACAGAATGGCTATCTAAAAATTGTCTGAAAATAATAGAATAAAGATATTTTTTTTTATTTTTTGATTATCTTTATTATCTTTGGAGATATTCAAGAGGTATATCTTTGTAGGACAGCCTGTATATTACTATCCTAGATATAATATTTCTGAATTTCCCACTTATAAAATAATACCTAATGATATCTAATAATGATAAAATTTGTACTAATTTCGAAAATTACTACCATTATTGCAGTATTGAAATGTATATCATACAAATTTAAGAAGAAACAATATTGTATAGGTTAATAATAATTTTATAATTGAACTTTGATGAACAATAAATTGCCTTCATCCTCTCCTTTTTTAATTTAACAAACCTACATATGAAAAAACCTTTAAATAAAGCAAACTCTACAATGTTGAACTTTGTAAACATTTTAAAATTGGATTTATTTTTAAATTAAGTTTACGTTTAAATAATGAAATATTAGAATCTTAACTTGAAAAATAAAATATTTTAAACAATATACGCTGCATAAAATATTTCTAAAAATTACCACGTCATAGTTTTTTTTAATTTCAAATATTTTTATGAAAAATAAAGTAATATTACTTGCCAAAATGTGTCCACTGGTAAATTAATTAAATCTTCATTTGGTTGTGTTGCAAAAGCTATTGGCAAACTATCTTCTCCACTGTTCATCGATTTGCTGGACTAAAATGTTATTATCAACTAATCTTGATACAACTTTAATCAGTAGAATCAAAATTGGACATGTTTCTTGATAAGCTAATTAAAGGGCATTTTTTGGCTTTAAAATTGACAATTTTGACAATACTTCATCATTCATATTATACCTTTTTTTTTATTTTACTAGATGTAGTCTATAAAAACTGTCTGCAATTAAAACAGAAATATTTATTTAGGTATTTAATAAAACATAACTTTAGCACTTGAATATAATTTCTATCTATTACCTACTTGATATTGTCCATTTTTTAAATTGATTTCTACAAAATTTGCAGTTGCCTACATATTTCACGACTCATAATACAATAAAATTTCTTGATCAAAAGATCAATTATTACAACTTTTAGATTCTAAGTGGATTTTTACAAAGATGTTTATTTTTTTTTTCCAGTGAACAGCTTTTCTACAAAAAAATTTTGCTCTAACTTATAATGTTAGCATATTTTCTGAAAGAAAATCTGACTCTGAAGGTACTTCAGGAATGTAATTTTTTAGTTTTCCCATAAGTTTTCTCAACAAATAAATGTTGGAAGGGAAGATTAGGCCCGGAAAAACAGGTAAACCAGAAAATCGGTATAATATTAAAGAAAATATATTATTCATATGTTATTATTTTACCATAATATAACACATATATTGTTGACACAGCAACACTACCAACCTTACTTCAGTCAGGATCATTTTCCGTTAGCAATGGTTATTCGTTGCATACAGATATGCATTAAATTTCCCCTTTACCTTGCCAACTTCTCACCTACCTCAGTGCATGGGCGACACACTTATGAAGTATGTCTGATTTTTTAACATTTGAAACGGTTTTAAAATAAAAACGATTGACCGGGAAAAAAAATATGATTTTTTAATGATTTTGTTATTTAAAATAAGTACCTACTTCTTATAGCAGAAACTTGATAAATAATATATTGATTGAATTTAAATAAATTAATGTTTAAACAAATGTGAGTGCATAATTGTTTTATTTGTGAAGTACCTATGCGTGTGAAAATATGTGTATAAATTAATGCAAATATCGAAATTTATTAGAACACTGAATACAAATTTACAAAATATATAGGTATACATATTATAAATATTCAAATTCTGCAATTACTACAAAATTTAAGTACTTGAGAAAAAATTAAATGTTTTTATTAATTTGAACGAATATTCAAAAACTAAAAATTAACAATTTAATGCACCTATATAGATATTATGTCTTATTATGCCTTGCTTCATTTATATGTTTTGGTCGTAGTCCACTTATAAACAGTTTTTTTTTATGTATTTTTATTAAGTTTTGGATGGCTTTCAAATACATGGAAATGTATTATGCATACATAATTTTCTTCAAATGGTGTATTTACTATCACTATTCTTGTATATAACTTTTGCTAAAAAAAAACACGATTAAAAAAATACTGACATACTTCTTACAATGGGAAGACCACTGTTGTAGGTGACAAGTTGAAAAGGAAGAGAAGAAATTTAACGTACATCTGTATGCAACAATTAACCATTGCTAACAAAAAATGATTCTGAGCGGAGTTTGGTTAATAGTGTTGCTTTCAAATTTTTATATTAAAATTCTTATTCTGTTTTTATTTAGTCTAAAAATTTATCTACAGAGTACCTACCAGATAAAAATTACGTAAAAAACTCGCAAAATTAAAATGTCAGTAAATAGCTTGAAAATTTCTCAAATGTTCTAAAAGTTTTGCCACGTCTAGAAAAAGTAGGTATAAGTTTTCTGACAACATTTTAAGTTTATGAATTATTAAAACTGAATTACAACAAAAAATCAAAATTAAAAATAATAAAAGCATTATTTTCGTAAAATTTCCTGTTATTTCTACGTTCTCTTTCGGCTCTGCTCAATTATTAAAAAAACTACAAAAAAAAAATCAAAAACTGACACTCTTGATAACCAATTAGATTAAAATTCAACAAACAAAAATCTTCATATTTTTCTATTGGAGCGATATTTATGATAGAAAACAACCCGTTGAAATTTAAAATAATGAAATCGTGCCGTAATTTGAAAAAAAAAAATGGGATATTTCGATATATATTTTTAATTTTTAAAAATTATTATGAAAAATACTTTAGATTCCAAAAATTGACTATCTCTGTCAGTGGCTATGTGTTTAAAAGAACAAAATCGATTTCGTGTCATTTTTTGATTGGTAAAATATTTCTGGTTGAAAACATAGATTGTAAAAACTGCTTGCTTCTCTCTTAATCCTATACATACAAGTCTATCTCAAATTATGAAAGGAAAATTATGTTATTTGATAATATGTAACCGGGCCGTCAATCACGATGCCCAAAGTGGATATAATATTATTATATCAATTTTTTTTTTTTAGCAAAGTCGATTAATGATAAATTTTGTACAGAGGATTTCAACTTTATTAAACAGTTATTTATGCGTTGACTCACTTCTCACATCACACAGTATCTGTTTAGTTCATGCAATACATATACTATAGACCGGTATACAATGTTTAAGTATTTAAAAACATTAAAATATCAATAATATATATCTTATAGAAATATGGGCAGACGGGCCAAAAGTTTTCAAGGAGGGCCACGGTCCGTCCTTGGCGCCGCCTTTTGAGTATTAAGTAGGTATATGTATATTGTATTTTTCGTTTTCGATGTTTTTTAATTTGTTGATTTTTTCGCCTTTTTGATCGGACAATTTCCCGTTAAAACAATTCTGCGCATTGTTACACCTATTGCACATTAATTATAAAATATCGCGATTAAACGGCATTCTAAATATTTGGACTACTATACACGTGCGCGGGAATTATTATTATTATTGTTATTGCGTTCGTGGTTACCGTGGGCGGTGGCGGCGTTTAATAGCTCGGTAAACCGAATACGCCGCCGCCACCGTCGGCCAGTCAGTGTGCGTACGTATGCTCCCGCGGACAATTGTCTGTGCAAGCGCGGTTACGAGAACGCTCTTCTCGGCGGAAAAAAATGTACACCATAATGCCGTACTTGCAATAGACAATTTCCGAAATGGACCCAATAACTAACCTCGCCGGGGGTATACCGGCTTCGCCACGGCCGTACCACCCGACGTGCTGTTGGTGTTTGGTGATTTAATACATTACAACTCGCGGTACATAATGAACGCCACCGGTTGCGTGACGGCCTTGGGTGACGGCGGAGAAGCGTTCGTCGTGCTTCTGGCCGACGACCACTGTTACCGCGGCCGCGGTAGCCGACCGGAAGAGATGGCGATGTCACTCCCGTGTCCCGCGGGCAGGCCGCCCGTGCCTCGTCCACCGATGACCACCGCCGAAGCGTACAAGTCGAGACCGCGCCGCAAGGACCGCGGCGCTTTCGTTGTACTGCCCGAACCGCCGCCATTGGTAACCGCACAAACCAACTCGACGGCAAAATCGTCCGCGGCAACCGGTTCCGACTGCAGTGGCCGCGTCAGTCCGTTCCGTGGCCACGGGTTCAAAACGCCAGAACACGGACGGTCGCGGGCGTCCACCCCGCCATCGTCGTCGTCGTCGTCGTTCAAACATCTTAGGCGACAGTTGTCCGAGCCGCGGATCACCGCCGGCCGCAGGCAACGTCCCGTAGTCGCTAATCAACGGTTGTCGGTATCCACAAAAGACCTGTCGATGGCTGTAGACAAATCATCATTACCGCGAAACAATAACTCGTCACCTCGAATACCTAATAAGCAGCTCGGATTGCCTAAACTGTTACCAGCCGAAAAGTCTGGCGCTACTGCAACTGGTAGACAGCCCGCGGTACTCAACAGGCAAACAAATGTCTCCACCAACAAAACGGCCAACGTCTCCAGATCGGCTGTAGCTAATCGTCATCCTCCACCGCCGATCAAATCGTCACCACGTTTACCCAAAAAACAGTCAAAGGTGTCCGCAGTGGAAGTGACTAAGAAATCTAAAGCGAACTCACTGCCACAGCCACCAATCAAATCGTCGCCGAGTTCGTCTAAAAAACAGTCGACGGTGGCGACAGCAGAGGTGACAACATCTAAGACGAACTCATTGCCGGCATCGAAAGGCGACGCGCGCTTGTCCGATAATAACCCACAAGCGGCTGTTACTATACCGATCGCGTCTGAATCGTTGATTTCGGTGGCCGCTGTACCGAAGACGACCGTGTCCACATCGGTGGCCGTATCCACATTAATGACCGCGTTCACGACAACGAACGAGCCCACGTCAACCACCATGACCGTACCGACAACTATGGTGGCTGCGTCCACTTCGGCTACAGCCATCGCAGCTACTCACGTCACTAACGCGGCCGCTTTACCTGTGGTCAAAAGCGACGGTCCGATCGTGACGGCCGCGCCTCCTCCCGCAGCAATAGCCGTAAACACATTGGCCACCATGTCTTTTGTCAATTCGTCGAATGCCTCAAAACCACCACCAAGCGCGACGAGGTTTCGCGAACTGCCCTCTGTGACAGACCAGCCGGCTCATTCCACGGCCACGGTTGTCGTCGTGGACGGCGGCATGTCGGCGGACACGACTACGATACAACAGCCTGCGCACATTAATGTAATGACCACAACGCCTCCCCTGTCATACGAGTTGGAAGAAATCGTAGTGGAACCGGAAACGGAAAATCAGAGCGGAAGGTCAAATGGAATTTCTCGGTTGCAGGCATCTGGTGACGAGGGAGTTCAGAATAATAATATTGTATTGTCCACTTCCAACAGTAGCAACGGTGGTCACAAGACGGTCGCATGGGCCAGGTAAAAAACTAAAAATTTAGCACGATAGCATAGGTTTGGTGTTCCCTAAATACGTCCTTCTAACACTCAACTATAATGATTTTCGTTAACGAAAAACGATTCTAGGCAAAATTCGTTTATATATTATTTAAAAGCCGTAATATTTACAATTTTTATACTCATTTTATCATGAAATAATTGAAATAAAGAAACCAATGTATTCAACTAAAATTTAATTTTGAACTAATAAATATAATTTATAATGTACCATGTGATAAATTTTCAACCATTTCTCTAAGTCATATAAATTTAATAACAGATAACTATCATACACAAATACACATGAAAACCCGAAAATATCAAATTAAGTACCAATAAATAGCCTAACAAATTACTAGAATGTTTTTAAAATTTTACTACGTATACAAAAGGCTAATATAAGTATTTTGTAAATTTGTAAAATCTACAGGTTTCCATAATAATTTTTAACCGAATAATAACAATTAACCCAAATGCCGCACACTTTGCCAAATTGTCTACGTTTTTTCCCGGTTTTTCGTAGAAAACTGCATGGAAAATCAAACAACGACTTTCACACATATAAACTATACAAAATTATCTAAAAAAATATGCTAAAAATATAGAAATTTAGAAAAATATTTCTGGTAAAAAAATAAAATTGTTGCACCTAGGTAATTTGATCAAATCGTATTTTTCCCAATTATTATGAAAATTACTAATTACTAAGTACTTAATGTTCTGATTGTGAAATTTTAGTTCTGTGTAACAGCAATTTATTATTATTATTTACTTCATATTAGTTTATTTGTTTTCGTGTATAGGAACTTACGTATGGGTAAATCTTTTTTTCGTGTTAGGTATAACTTACGTACTGGGAAAATTTAGTTCATGTCAGAATTCACATATGTATCCGCTTATTATCTAAAGTGTATTATATGAGAACTTACTAAACCTCACCCGTTCATCCCGTCACTGTTATTTTTACTCAACCAGAGTTATTATAAAATGTAGTTAATTGTAAGATTATTACAAATCTATTGGCCACGTTTCTAAAGTTTTGTTTTTCAAGACCGATAAATAATAAAATTATTTAAAAATATTTAACAATAAAATGTTAGTTAAACGATTATTTTAATATCGTCATAAATCGTCATTTTAGTGTAATTAAATTTTCTTACGACGACGTACTCTATACTATAATATTATTATATAGGTATTGCAATGTATAAGTATATTATACGGGTAAATAAACACTAATATACTATATACTATAACATTGTTAGTTACCCATAACACACTACCCACACAGATATTTCAACAATAACCATAAACAAGTTACTGTTAGCATCTTGTAAATATATTGGATAGGTAATCTAGGACAAGTCGCCATTTCGTCGTCACAGTTTCAACGTAAAACCATTTCGCCATCAAAAAGTACACTATTCATTTTCTGAGTAGACGGAAGAAGCTTATGGTTTTACAAAGATGTATATTGTTTTTGTTTTTTTCTGTGGACTACTCTGTGGTCATTTTTTTGATTTCCTCAATAAATGTAAAAAATTTACGAAATATATTAGTAAAATATTACAGCTTTTCTTTTTCTTGTAAACAACCTTTCTACCAGCAATTTCGCTCCGATTTCTAATGATAGCAATTTTTCATAAAGGAAATCTAACTGGGAAGGTACTTAAAAAGTATCATTTTTTGATTTTCATAGGAGTTTTCCCGACAAAATAGGAAAATGTACGAAATGCAAGTAGTTGATAAAAATATTACAGACTTTTTAAATTCTAAGTGTAGCGAAGATTTTAAAAAGATGTTTATTATTATTTTTTTTTTAATATGTGAATTCTTTTACTACCTTTTACTTACCTACTCCGATGTATACGATGTAAACACGTTCCTAAAAGGAAATTTTCTTAGGGTGGTACTTTAGGGAGGTGTTAAAGAGTTTCGATTTTCTCAACAAATTTGAAAAATAGAAAAAAAACGGGAAAATCTACGAAATTTATTAGTAAAATATTAAAAATTTTTTTTTGACATTTTTTCTACCAGCAATTTCACTCAGATTTACAATGGTAGCACTTTTTCTGAAAAGAAATCTGACTTGGAAGACACTTTAAGAAGGTAATTTTTTGATTTTCTCAATGAATGGGAAAACGAAAAAACCGTAGGAAAAACGGGAAAATAGGTACAATATTACATAAATATTATTAATGAAAATGTATAATGTCTACGTAATTATTTTACCATAATATGGCATATATTATATTGTTAACAAATTAACACTATTCACTGAACTCCGCTCAGAATTGTTTTTTCGTTAGCAATGGTTTATCGTTGCTTACAGATATACACATTAAATTTCCCCTTTACTACTTCCCAACTTTTCTCTTACAACAGTGGCTGCACGTGTGTAATTTTTAATAATCGTTACCTTTTTTTTATATTTACAATATTACTATTGACAAATTGTAACCACGATAAAGTTACTATAAAAACATTAAATTGCCTGTTGGTATGTTTGTATCAGTGGCGGCCCGATGATATAGTACGAGCAGACTTATTACTGTCCACCCACCTACTCACCATAATCCACCAATTTAATATAAGCTTATACCTTTTGTAACTTAAAATATTGTGTATATATGTAATTTCCTTAATAATGTCTCAAAACTGTAAGATATTAAAAACACAGGACATCAGAACCATAATAAAGGAAAAAAAAAACAAAAATAAATAGTTAAAATCTGATAATAAGATCTATTTTATTTCAACTAGGTATTAAGTATAAATTGTAAATTACTGAATTATCCATTTACCCACTACCTATCCATTCTTTTAGCGCGTAGAAGCGATTGCTTCTTGTAATATACATCTGGATCGCTTCTGGTATGTGTATTGATAAACTCGTCCTTATATTATGGTAATAATAACTAGAACTTCATAGAATATAGATCATAGCATAAAGTTGATTGTAGGTATGTTTTTCTAATCGACCCCTCAGTCAGTACCAAAATTCGACCGTATTTTAGGAACTAATTGTCGGCGCGGTGTATTAAAAGATGAGTTTTTTATATTTATATTAGATGCGTTGAGTAAATATAGTCAAAAAAATATGTAATTTCTTCAAAAATTCCAGAAGCGTACTTATATAATTTATTCTTATTAATATTAATCTCAAGGAGTTAATGAGACATTTTTACTCTATGATAGTGGACCTGAGTTGGGTTTTAGTAAGTTCTGTATATATTTACATTTTTTTTATTTATATTTTTATATTATTTACAGTGCATGTGCACAGTCCAATATCTCCATTGCATGTGTAAGTGTTTGTTTAAATTCACTAAACGTATTTTCTTGTGCAGTTATCGCTAGATCGTCGGCGTATAGGAAATGGCGATTTTTATGACACTTAAATGTACCTATGGTTGATACTTACAGATATTATTATTATTAATTATTTCTTTATTTACGGAAAAGAAAATCTCTATTTAAATAACATGTATAAATATGTGGTATGAAACATTACGTTAAAAAACTGGGTATAGCTAGTATAAATTATCATTATATAATTGTACATAAAAATGAATAAAATAGCATATCATATTTAATTTAATAGGTAACAATAGTACATATATTATATATTTACAACACATAGTTGTCTATGTATTACAGTTTTGCTATAAACTACATCGTGGTAAGACACTATCTTATATTAAACTCATCATATCTTTTCTGGTACACCCAGCTATATTTTATGCGAATATAGTGATGTTCAATTAAAATAAAAAAAAACAAATTCAAATAATGTACCTATAATCATCTGAACTCGTCAGCGTGTACGTATATGTATATGGATATGGCGTAACTATATGCGTATAATACTGCAGCAATACAAGCCTGTGCTTAAGGAGGGAGGTTGGGGGTTCAAACTCCCCCATTGTCGAAAAAATATAAATCGTGTTTTTCATTTTTGATCGATTATATTAATTATTTTATTATATTATTTGTAATAAATAATATTGCATAAAATAATAATAGCACACCACTATTATTGTGTTATTTTCGTGTTTGCTGTTTATCGGTTTTCGTCACAGATTATTATAAAATTATTATTTACATACCATATCTTGATTTATTTATTACTCATCTTCAAGATTGCATCCTCAAACATCGTAATATTTTATGCAACTTCTCATGTCTTTTTCCTATTAAAACAAAATGTTTAGACAAAGTTACTTGTGAAAAGTTATTTGAAACGTATAGTTCAATTTTACACAACAATTCTCCAGAAATTTGGATAAGTGAGGTAGAAATTCGGCGACGACGACGACAAGTTGGTATAAATATTCGAAACGCTCTTGGTGCTCTCAATATTTGTAATTCAGATGCGTTTCGAAACGTTCATAAATAAAATGTTACGTGTAATGTCAGTTTTGCCCGCGACTACAACGACTAATGAAAGGTAATTTTCAACATTCGTCAGCTGAAAACTTACCTACGATCAACAATGGGAGAAGATCGCTTAAATAGACTAGCGTCATTGAATACACATCGTGATATAAACGTGCATCGACCAAGCATTGAATGAATTATTTTCTACCCCTCGTCGAGTAAATGTATTGAAACAATGATTTATATTTTATAATATTGATAAGATTAACAAAATTAAGAATAAAATGTATTCTTAATTTTGTACATGCGTATTCATTACATATAAATATATAATATATAATATTTGCTAATTATTGATGTATCTATTTTATATATTTTTTATCAACCTCTCCTCCCCAATCTCCGTTATGAAATCCTGTGCACGGGCCTACAGCAGTATATCGTATACGTGCGTGGATCGTGCACACGAGTACCGGGAGGAGGGGGCGGGAGAGAAGGGAGAGATGTTTGCGAGGCGGACTCGGCCAAGAAACGGGGTGTCGAAAACGAGAGAACGAAAAGACCGCGAGGCTCGCACCGTTCGATATCGTCGTGTCCGCGCGGCTGTAGGTGTTATTATACATTGTACCCAGTCACGCCACTGGCGCAAGTGTATATACGATAACAATATAAATAATTGGGTCACTCTGCCGCCACTGCCGCTACTGCCGCCAGCGAGTATATATATATATATATATATATACTCGTTATATATATATATATATATATATATTCGTTATATATATATACATCGTTTACGTGTATATTATATCCTTCGGAGGCGGCGGCGAGTGACTCGTGTTTTTTTTTTTTAAGGTCACGCGAACATGCGATGCAGTTTCTTTTGGCTCGCTGGCGTGTCCGCGAGTATATCGCGCCCGTGTCCAACCCTCGAAAGTCACCGCCGCCGTCGCCCCGTTCGTAATACATTATATTATAATATTACTCTATATTTTAATGTACCTCATTATTTTCTTACCGTGCTTGCTTTCCCCCCCTCTCCCCTATTCTTTTAAAATTTACCCACGTACCACTTGTGCGGCGGTTAACACCCTCTCCCCTCCCCCCCACCCCGTTCCCTCCATTTCCCTATTTTCCATATTCTCTATTATTATGTACGTATACAGCGTGCGCTATAATACGCGCCGTACCTGACCTACCTATATATTACTCCAAGTATATTATGCGAGTGAATAGAAAAAAAAAAAAAAAAAAAAAAGAAATTATTATTCTAATTTCCTTATGATATTTTTTCGCACCGCCGCCGTCGGCGCTACAATAGGACGGCGGTGGCCGTGCGCGAAAATTAAATGAAAAAAATAAATGGAAATAAAAATGGGGAGAAATAATCACCGTCTCTCTCGAGTTGACCGCTACACCATGCGGACGGAAAAGCCGTCGTCGGCAGTAATAAAACAATAATATACGACCGCGGGTGGTGAACTTTTTTTTCCGGGTCAAATTTTTTCGTGTGCGTGGGCGTGATAAACTATAATATACCGCCGCTGTATACGTATATACGCACCGTGGACGCCAAACGGAAACACCACGTCCGTTTCGGACGGTTCGCGATGGTCCACAGTGACGACGGCCTTCCCGGTGCGCTGTTAGCCCCGAACGCTACCGCAACGGCAACGGACGTCATCTATTCTATCGGTTTACCCGTGACCGCCAGGTTTGTCGTCCCGTACGCTAGCCAGTAACCACCTGCATCCCGTCTGATATCGTATTTCTGTTTAAATATAGAATTTAGAGTTTTTAAATCGATGGCTACGGGCGTGTAGCCAAGCATTTTTAACGGGATAAGTATATGTTATGAAAAAACGCAAAATCTTTTTAATTATCACTACATCAGGGCTAATGACAAAATATCGAGTCTGATAATATTACTTGGAAACCGAGCGTTGAAGAGCAAAATGATTTGTGTCCCTGACTTCTATGACTTCTACTGAGTACATCCATTCTTGTAGAATCTCTATAAACTTTTTCATTTTGATTTGACGATATTTTTCTAAAATTTATTTTTCACGTTTAGCGATTTTGTAATGAATCCAAAAGAAACGAAAATTGCTGCCGCTCGACGGCGCATCTGCAATTTTTCAATTGAAATTTATTAGCATAAAAAAAAAAAAAGAAACAAATTTTCTTAAATCTCCAAAACTGTCGAGTCGACTTTTGGATTTATTACAAAATCGCCTAACTCGAAAAATATATTTTAGAAAAATATCAGCGAAATAAACCGAAGAAGTTTCAAATAAGAGAATCAACAAAAACAAATGTACTCAGGAAGTCATAGAAGCAAATGATACTAATCCTACTGCTCTTCGATACTCGTTTTCCAAGTGATATTACCAGTCTCGATATTTTTTGATAAGCCCCCGTATTCATTATAGCGGTAGTTATACACTTAAGAGGACGTGATACATGATTATAGCGTTCTGCGGGGAAAAATTTGCGCTATTAATTTTTATGTTGGAATGAATAATTGACCCATTGTCAAATTAGTTACTATAGAAAGATAAGAACATCTGTACAACATCGGTGCTATTTTTTCTATAATTTAATATTTTCAAGCGAGCATTTTCTGTAAGCGTTATTAAACTGTGATATTTCACGAACCTATATACTCATATCTTGTTTGAAAATTAAAATATCGAAAAAATAGCGTCAACGTTATCTAGGTAATGTTCTTGTATTTAAGTTTGGTAATGATAATAATTTATTTAAATATCGAAACTAATAGTACAATATTGTTTCCATTAAAAACGAATTCACGAATTCGAATTGAAATATCTTACATGTATACAGTGAAGTATTTAGAGGGGCAGAGGGTGCTTGGGCCCCGAGTCGTAATATTTTAGGTAAATTTTGAAGAGCATTTTGATTTAATATTATAGGTTTTTTGGCTGGTTAAAAAAATAATAATTATAATAAAAGTAATCATTTTTTTTGCATTCTGTAATTATACCAGAACATAGAAAAGTTACTGGTCTAAGGTATTACCACGTTTATGCACTCGTAATTACAAACATTTTATATTTTATACTGTGCTTAAAATTATCATTCTTATCATATTTTATAAAATTGTTTTGTGTTTATATTATTTATTTTTTAATTTATTTGTGAATTGTGATAGTAAACCACGTTCTAACTTTCAATGTGTTTTAAACTATTTATTATTTTTCTATTCTTTATTTTTAAAAATAATGGTTCCCAACTTAACATACAATTTTTTACTTTTATACATTTTGTATAATTTATATATTTATATATATTTTATGGTTATGTATAATGTATATTGTATATCAATTATTAATGTAATTTTTATACATACTTAATAATCTAATAAAGATTTTAGATTTTTTTTATATTCCTTCTAATATAAATTATCACAATGTTATTTTATGTAGGTACAATTTTAATTGATAAGAACCGCTGTCCAGCACAAACTTGACTTAAAAGGGGTGCTGTAATTCAAGTGTGTAATGTCTATTAAATGTTTCATCTGTTGTTTTTTTGCAAAATATATTAATAATAATGATAATAACTGATGTTTTTTACAAATATATTTCTGGAGAAATTTGGGTTGGGGCGTTTTTTTTTGCTTGCCTGTGGCACAAAATATCTAAATACGTCTCTGTGTGTGTGTCGTATTGCCGTTTTATATTCGTTACTCATTAGTTACCCTACAACAGTATACGTGTGTAAAAAAGAGATAATACATATATGATATACGAATACCGATATCACGCCTTCTTAAGAAAATGCACCGAGATATATAACAATATATCTGTATATTTCTCGGTGGAAAAATGAAAACCGTTGTCGATTCTCGATTATATAAACTGTCGCGGTTAACAAATAACTATAATCCTGCACTGTCATAGTTCGTGACATCAATAATAATCAATAATCTTTGACATCATAACTTTTTAAAAGTACGAACATTGTAATGACATTTACATAGTTATACATTATGACCATAATATTGTAAAATAATTTGTCATTGTGTTATATATCTATTAGTAATAAATAAACACGGTCAAGGAGGCTATACCTATAACACTCCTCCTCGGTACGCCACTGGATAGATATAGGTATTCCTATTAACTATTTCTGCTCGTGCGACTAGTATTATATTTCTAACGTGATTATACTATAATAGAAACGTCAACGGATGAAATAATAATATTTAGAACCATATTATTTTCTTAAGCAAATACGTTCTAACAAAAAAAGTCTATTTTATCATAAATCATGTTGACATATAATAATAATTATTAATTTTCAAATATCTACGAATATTACGTTATTTATTTGAAGATTTTCGATCATGTGCGAAGCAAGGCATGTATTGGTTATACTATATGGGTGTGTTTTTTCTAATTCCTTTTCTTTTTTTTTGTACGTTTATAAACGATTTTTCTACCAGAAATCTTGATCCAATCAAATACTTTATAGGATATGTTTTCAAGAATATTTGATTTAGGTGATGCATTAAGAAAGCAATTTTTTTAATTTTTCTAACATTTTTCACATTGTAAAAAAACAGGCAATTTTTTATAATTTTCGTTGATTACCCTGGGCTACAATGGAAAAATACGACTCGGCTCAGAATAGGTTTTTGTTAGCAGGTTTATCGTCATCTATCACTAAATTACTCTATATATATCCTCCCTTTTCCAACTTTCTTTCTAATACAGTGCCACACTTATCAGTAGTATCAGCTCTTTTTACCAATAACTTTTAAAAATCGTATTTATGGTCCGAAAAAAATTACATAATTTTTAGTAATATCATAACTCGAAATACTCGAAATTATAATCAGATCAAGTGGATCATAATCAAATTATTCAGTCAAATTAATATACACTACAGACGTAGGTTACTTCAGCATGTTATGTATTAATTTTTGAATGTTTTTTAGATTCTGAGCAGAGTGAGGAATGTATTGATTTTACAATGATATGTATTTTTGTATTTTGTATTTTTTATTTTATTTATCTGCAAACAACTTTTCTACCAAAAATCTTGCCTCCGATTTTCAAGTGTACCACATTTTCTGAAAGGAAATTTTACCTGATTGGTACTTTAAGGAGGTTATTTTTTGATTTTCCAGACGATTTTTATAATAATTGGAAAAAAACGGAGAAAACGTAGGGAAACGGGAATATTTATGAAATATTTTATTTTCAAGTTTGCTTTTTGCTATGATTCAGTTAAAATTATTCATAAACTTAAAATTTATATTTTAGATAGAAAATTGATATTTTTCTTTTCTAATTGTGGTACCATTTTTAAACAATTTTAGTCATTTTTGAGCTGCTTATGTTAACATTTTAATTTTAAAAGTTTTTTTGCATAATTTTTATTCGGTAGGTACTTCTTTATTTTATAGATAAAATTGTTAAACCAAGTGTAAATGCTTTTTAATATTGTTAGAGCAAACATTAATACTTAATAGTAGGCTCATTATAAGTCGTACATTATATGGTAAAAAAAAAGAATTTTATTTCAAATTTTGACGAAAACCATGATCAAATTCATAAAGTCAAATTTCAAAGCATGTATACTCGAACCCCGTTCAGAATCGTTTTTCGTTAGTGATCATCTATAGTTGCGTACAGATATACATTAAATTCCCCTCTATATCATATCTCTTAAATTTTCACCTACAACAGTGGCCCACGATTGGTGGATCATGCGAAGCATGTCCATCTTTTTTCTTTCTTTTTTTCATAAAACTTAACCAAAATCAATGTATACAAATGATATAAGACAATTTTTAAGATTAACATTCCCGCTTTTGACGAAACGGTAATTCACAAAATATTGCATACTGTATTTATACGCTGTTTTCGGGCTGAATTTACGTCACGGTAGTAAAAATGCAACAAAAGTTGGTTGCTAAGGAAATGCAAATAGGTTTGTTTTTATATGTTTTGCAGTTGAGTTTGTTTTTAAAATGCAAAGTGTGTAATGTATATGCAGTATGCTCTACATTCTGCCAAATAATGTTTTGTCAGTCTTTCGATGTTTTTCGGAATCAATTTTATTTTATTGAAATATGCATATTTTGTATACGTATCTGCATAATAAAATTAATATACAAACAATTATATATATATTTTAGGTTATTCCAAAAAACTTAATTACGGAATTTATTTCATTTAATTTCATTAAAAAAATGAGTACATCATTTTTTTAAATGGTAACTTACCTCGTTCCTCGTGCCAAAAAAAGGTTAAAATAAAAAAAAATCCGACTAATCGAAACAAAAATTGTAATTTATTTATTTGTTAATTTAAACGCCAAAAAAGGCAGTTGTGTACATGATGATGATCTTAAAGTTAGTTAGTTTTTAGGTGGAATGGGTGACAGCAGCGGAGTAACTTAAATCTAAGAGAAAATGTGGAAAGAGCCTAGACTAAGCAGGATTGAGTAGACGCAAAGCACGGTGGAGAAAATTATAAAACCATAAAAAGTGCAGTGTTGAGGTACATGGAATAAGAAATGGGTTCTGGTGGAGTAGACGGGGCTTCGGAAAGAGATGGTTGACAGTAGATCTGGGGCATCGATGGTCCCATCGAAAAGAAAAAAAGCAAAGGAGACATCAGCCTTAATACGGCGAGAATAAAGAGTAGATAGGTCAATGACAGAACGGATAATTGAATAGCCGTGTTGGAGATGATTAATTTTTAGACGGTATGCAGCAATAGTGACAGAAACTTATTTCGCATGCGCTCAATGCAAAGCTGGTCGCTCACGAAGTGGGGTTGCTAAACTATTAAGCCGTATTCAAGTATTGGTCATATGAGTGATATGTAAAGTACACAAAGACAAAGGCAAGAGGAAAAGTCTGAGGTGTTCTGCCATGATAAAACTCAGATTTCTTAGAGCTCGGTCAATGATGAAATTAATATGGTGCTCAAATGACAAATTGAGTTTAAAATAGATACCTAAATCTTTTACAAGAGTGACACGATTAATTAGTGAGCCGTTTAGGGAATAATGGTGGGAGATGGGTGAGAGGCCTCTGGTAAATGACATAACGTGGCCATTTCCTGATGTTAAGACAAAGGTTGAATATCTGTGTAAAATAGTGTAAATAAGTGCATGATGTCTATCGTTGTCGGTCTGTAATATGTGAGCTGGATAATATTTCTGTCCGTCATGCCGTATAAGTGTAACATCGGATTTTACTTGACTTTTGATTTATTCAATTTAATTTCGATTATCTAAAATAATTATAATATTATCAAAATGTGTTATATTCGAATATATATACAATGGTAAAAAATTTAACATATATATATTATATATGACAAGTTTAATGGTGTAGTCAGGATTTATCAATAGCAAGGTAGAGGGTCTAGGGGGATTTAGGAGTCTACAATTTCCCTAATCTTATCCTTACCTATTTCTTATAGCAAAAAAAAAAAAATCAATTGGTGGTAGGGAGTTCTACATGTACTACACCTAAGCAACCCCCCTGATTATACCACTGGGCAAGTTGTAGCCAGTATAGAACGCACCACCAATTACTAATAAAATCAACGTTAAATTTTTTAAAATTTGGCAATCATGCAAAATAGTTATTTTATGAAATGTTTTATTGGTCTAAGACTTACTACAATTTAAGTTGTAAGTGGAGATGAAATAGGTGCAACACACTGTACAGGCTGCAACAAAAGAATCATACTTTGCACATTGCATATGCATTGCACATTCGAGAACGTATAGCTGAACCATTTTCATTTGGGGAGGGATTTAACAATATTTTTTTTAGCAGAGCAGTATAAGTAGTTTTTGTTTCTTTTATAGCCAATGAAACCCGGAAATCAACATAAATAAACCGATGTAAATACAGATTGTTAAATTTATCGGCTTTTTAACACTAAGAAAAACATAATATAATGAATTTTATGTTAAATTTTCCAGCACTTTTACAAAGTCAAAATAATATTACTTACCTAATAAGCGTTGAACCCTTAGACAATATTATGCTGAAATATTGTGTGAAATATTTTTCCATTTATAAAATAAATATACTCGTACATTAAAATAACCAAATGTATTTATTTAATAAATGCATAGAAATAATTAATAAATATTATGTACATATTTTTTTTTATTTACGAAAGGTTAATGGACCTGATCATTGGGAAATACTCGTGTGGAGACTCAGGGTTGTCTTTGTTTACAAATATTTTCATCATCCATGTTTACACATACTTATATCAATATAAGTACCTTCTTGGTGCAAAACTTGTTTTCATACTTACAGTTTGATATTCCATATTATTATATTATAAATTATAATAGCATAAATTATTAAGACTGTAATGCTGAAAATAGGTATACTAATATGTACTATTTTATAAGACTAACATAAATTATGTATGAAATGTAACGATTTTTATAGAGGAATACATAAACTTTGATGACGTGAAATTTTGTTTTCTTTGGTGTACGTGCCTAATATATTACCAACACCGTAAGGAACACCCGTTTTCGCCTTCATGAAATACGATTAAATTGAAAACACGCAACACTGAATACTTTCAAACATAAATTAATCTATTATCAATAAATTATCAGTACTAGCTTTCACATGCACAATTTAATTACCTTTTTTAGGTCAACAATAAATGCTAAAATAATGCCCTGAGTAAATGTTTACAATCACATATTTGAAAGTTGAAACAAACTAATTTAAAAAAGAGCTGATACTGGAGATTAGAGCAGCTACTATTGTAGGTGAGAAGTTGGGAAGGTCGAATACAAAAAGTTATATCATTTATATCTGTAAGCAAAAATAAACCATTGCTTGACGAAAGATGATTCCAAGCGCTGTTCGGTATTACATAATTTGAAATGCCGTATTGTTTTTTTGTGATTTTCGTTTAAATTTGATTTCAAAACGCTTATTAAAAAAAAAAAATCGTCCGATGATTTTGAAAATTTTCCTACGTCTAGGTAAGTTCAATATAAGTATTATTACCAAAGCATCGTAAGAACAAATTTAAAATAGGCAATGAAATCATACGGCGTAAATTTGTTCGCTATTCATTTTTCATCTTTGATGGTTTTCACAATTATTATGAATACTACTAAGGAAATCAAAGAAGAACTCTCTTCGTGACCATCTAGGATTAAAATTGAACAAACTGTCTATTGGCATTTTTTGATTAAAATAATATTTTTGATAGAAAATAAAGTTTGCAAAGTTTAGCATACCGTACATATTTGCCGTTTTACTCAGAATTATATTAGAATCTAAACTGAAATAACATGTAACGGTTTATTATAAATATGTATACTAGAAAGAAAAATTATTTGTGAAAAATTATAAAAATAAACTATGATGAAGATTATAGTTATAGGGTGGAATCGCCACCTATGGCCAGTATCCCTGCTATGGTCACTCATTTTTATTGCGGTGTAATTTTGAAATTAGATGAGTTATTATTGTTTTCATCCCTATTAATTAATTGACTAGGTGATAACAATATTATTATAAAAACATAGATAGCATAGGATGGCAATAGAACGGGAAAATGAAAATTTAAAATATTAGGACTGATGTTTCATTTTGTAACGTTTTTAAATTTAGTTTTGAATTTGTTTCAGTACTCGTAGAAGATAGATTAAATCAAGTATGAATAGGAAAAAGTTCTCAAGATGACCATAAGTGGCGACTCTGCCCTACCTAATATTATAATATTATACAATATACATACATACAACGACAAGTAGAAGGTGGAACTTTTCCAAATTAAAAACATTATATACTTAAAACTAACGTCGACATTTTAACTGCGTGTGACCTCGATTTGTTTGTTGGTTAACCATGCTCGTATCATATTATAATATTGTATTATTTGACCATAAAATTGGAGTAACGTAGGTGCCTATACATTATGCCTCATGGAACAGGTAATTTGTATAGGTAATTTGTTAAATAAGTTTCTCGGTCCATTAACGAAATTGACGTTTAGGTACCTATACTTAATGTTTACATGCGATAATATAGGTTTTAAAATTAAAGTGTAAAACTTTGCGTGTGTTCCTGTTAGGCCATAATAAGGGACGATGAAATGTTAAAAGATGGGCCATTAAATATATCGGAGGGGGCGTGTCTATCTATACCCACTATACATTATAATGTATAAGTTGCCTTTTTTTTTTTGACGTGACACGTAAAAAAAAAAAAAACTAGAATATCGAACTTTTTTTATATTATGGGTATTTATTACACAACCGTTTTGTGGTTGCAGGCAATCCGAAAAAATCATCGTGCCGGCGGAAGGACCGCGGCCGAAAGATGAACCGGTGGCGGCGAGAGCTCCGGCTTACAAGCGGTTCGCCCGGAAGTTGTGCGGCGGCGATCGGCGACGGCGGCCGGCCGCGGGCAAAGAGACACCGGCTACCGATAGCCGCTCGTCCAAATGTTGGACGTGCCTGTGGAAACGTCGGCCGCGGTTAAAAAAACGGTCTGCAGCGGTGACCACAGCGACAGCAACGGCAACGGCGGCGGGTGACCGGAGATGTCTGCGGTGGTGCTGCTGTTGCTGCTGCGGTAAAAAGCCAAAGAAACCCGCCGTGACGTCGTCATCCGGGTCAATAGGAGCACTGGGCATCGCTCCGCCGACCGTGCCCGCCCGACCAACCGACACGTTTTGCGCAAAATTAAAACGTCGGATGTTCTGCTGTCGTTGCGCCGCACCCAAGTTCATCAGGCGGTTGTGTTGCGGCTGTTGTAGCCGGGGCGGACCCGACAGGTCGGACGCCGCGAAGAACAGGCCAGCCGACGATAAACGGTCCCTGTTGAAGTGCACCGGTTGCTGCACGGTAATAAGTCTCTGCATTTGAACCACTGTATATAGTACCTTTATTCCGGGCGATCCTTTTAAATCGATATTTCGAAAAGTGTTCACTTTTTTCGGAATTTATTTTTTACAACTTATGTAATAATTAGATGTAAGATATAACATGATTGCGTAATTTTTTCGATATTTTTCGTCTCCCTTATTTTTGGGAATGCAACCGTGAAACCCACTTTTGGTTCAGTAGCTTATATACAGAATTCCGAGAAAAGTAAATACTTTTTTTTTTTTACAAAATCCCGAGTTTCGACACTTAAAATGGATCACCTGGTATAGCTGCAGGATTTACACGAATCAATTTAGTTATTGATTAAAAATAATAATAATAATAATAATAATAGTATCAAACACTCATTCAATAAAATTAATCGTGTTAACGAAATAAGAATATGGTTTCCGTTTTTATTCAAATCAGTGTTGGACTCATAACTGTTCAATTGGTTTGCGCTTATTGATGCTTAGACGCAAGAGCACCATGTCGTTTCCTCAAAACTATATTTTACTTTATTAACAATATTTTATTTTAAATATCGTAGTCACTGTAAAATACGTAAGGTTTACGAGTGGAAGGATCGCGAAATATAATGCAACTCTGTGCGCAATTACTGTAATGTGAACAGATTACTAAAACAAACGATACCTATCTGCCTTAAATTTCGATGTTTTTCCATTTGTATTCTAATTTCTGCATCGAATAGTCAATGATATTTCACAATAGATGTATATTATACAGGTACTTTACCAGTTACAGTGAATTCTTTCCTCATAGAATTAACGCGTATTTTTTTCCTTTAAAAAATCGTTTGAAAAATAAATTCTCCCCTTATTCAAATGAGGAAAAAATTAAAATTAAAACATTGGGTACATCTTTGATGGATTTAAATATAACAACAGTCACGAAACAAAAATCACAGAAATATTAATTCACCAATGACCATTTTCCTAAATATAATATTACTTTGCGGATATAATCGGAGAAATACTGTTTTGTTACTATTATGTTATACACCACTTAATTTTAATACCACGAGCCCCCACTGTAAACTAGTGTACGTTCATTAAATTAACTATAAATACTCATTTAAAAATTGTTAATCAATATCGGCCGAATTAGATAATCAGTTTTTGAAAAATTCATTCTGATTAAAAATATGGGGACGATTTAAAATATTTATCATTGATCAATTAAATTGACTCGTGTAAATTTCGCTTATATCAATGGTATTGTGTAAAACAAGACGCAATACTCACCACAAACCGATGAGATTTTCTTGTGTAGTAGAGCATGGAAGGGGATAATAGATCTATCAAGAATCTTTTTTTATGTTAAATTAAGTACTATAGTATACCTACTTGTAAATATATCTAAGATATGGTTAATGGTGGTCACAACTTAAAAGTACTAAATTTAAACAGTTTAACTAATTTTACTATTTTAATATATATAGTGAAATCATTTCAATCAAAAATAGATTCTGAGCAGAAAAGTAAGTATAAGTTGCAAAAAAAATATTTAAGAAAAAAAATATGTATAAAAAATTTTGACATATATTATAAACATTGTTTAATGTACACAATTTTTATTTAAAACGTTTTAAACACATTTTAACTTAATTAAATATAATATAAAATTATTTAGAAATTTGAATCACAATAAATATTGACTAAATACTCATAAACTCTGGCTCATTATTGAATTAGAATAAAAAATTATCAAAAATAATTAATAGTTACGTACCTACAAATATAGTTAGTTACACTGCATATTACTATAGGTACAGAAAAAAAAGTTAAGGACTTTTAAATTCGGAGCGTAGCGATTGTGTATTTTGGGTATTTGATATTGTTCGTGTTTTTATATGTATTTTTATTTGATAGATATCTGTTATTAAAATTATATGACTGAAGAGAATAATTTGAAAAATCAACACATAGTACATTATAAGTTATGCTTATTGGTATATAAAACAAATTTGAGTTTAATGCATTTATTTTTTTATTTTTTTCATAAGCGGTTTTAAGATCAAATTTTAACAAAAATCGTAAAAATTACAGCATTTCGAAATATGTCTTATCGAACTTTGCTCCGAATCGTTTTTCGTTAGCAATAGTTTATCGTTACGTATATATATAAATTAAATAACTTAATGTACCTTTATAACTTCTCTCCTACAACAGTAGCTTCACCCATTCCCAGTATCAGCTCTTTCTTTTGTTAGTTTATTGATTTTAAATTTCAACTATATTATTGTTAGTATAGCAAGAATTTAAACTTTTATAGGCCATGTTATTATAGTTAACACATAATTATAATTTTCACGTCGTATTTTATATAATCATACTATTATGACGTACATTATAATAATTATATTCTACAATCATTCTATAAACAAATATGAAAATGATACCTATTAAAAACATTTAAACATACGTATAAAACATTTTGTTTAACAGTTTGCAATCCTGAAGGTAATATTAATATTATTAATTGTACTATTGTATTATTATTCGTGTTTTGTACCATCGCGAACAAAAATTCCACATACTCTGAGGTAGGTAGGTATTGCGTAAAAAATCGGACTATTACACTCACCAAAAAAAAATGATTTCAAAAAAATCATATAGTGAACTTTTTTGGAAAAAATATAAGGAATTTTGTAGGTTTGTTCGAATAAACTATGAAGTACCACTAAGTGACAAAACTGCATCTTACATAATATACGGTATGAAAAAGTAAGATCATTTTTATTAGTCAAATAAGTGTTTTTTGCCCAAAAAACACATCTTAGTAAAACTAATAGTTTCTTCGCTATACTCAGAATCTGAAGCAAAAATCATATGGGCATTTTGGGGGCTGCCTTTAAGCGACTCTTACCTTACTGTAACTAATTATCCATCTACCAGAAAAAAATGTTAACTACGCCGCTGTATGTACCATTTGTTTAAATGTATTAAAACGATATTTTAATACCTGTATATATCTATAATTCGATGAAGAATACTTGACCAGTACTTGGAAAACACACATGTAAATATGAGTGTCAAAAGGACAACGATCCATATGTATACAAATCATATCATATCAGATATATTATATTATACTTCACTCTGTCAGCTATTAGGTATAGGTTTCAGTTGAACGATACGTAAACCATTAAAACTGACATATTTATCGTCCTTTATGCAAGGTAAAACAACATAATAACGGTTAATCGTTAAAACGGTACAATTGATGTATGTTATTTTAACGTTAAAAAATTACATAAAATCAATACACGTTATTGACAGGTACGAATTAATCAAGTTTAGTTATACATTATTATTATTATTATTTTTTTTTTTTTTGAAGGTTGTTTAACCAAAAAACGATTAGTCTTTATTATAGGCACGTATTTTCTAGAAATAATAATATACCAGACGCGCATCAATAAAATTATAACATTATATTAACGTACCTCTATCATAAATCTCTTGAACGAAAATCGACTTCTTTATAATTAAGTCAGAAAAGTTTTTAAATTTGCACTGTATATTAAGGAAAATTATCTATAATTTAAATTAAATATGCTTAAAAAAATTCGAAATACCTATAGCTATTTACTTAAAAAATATTAACGGTTACTTAGAATCAATTATTAGAAGGATTAATATTTTGATTTTCAATAATGCACAATAGGTTGGTGTACTTTAATATAGTACCCATTATTATTATATTTAGATGATCCATTTACTTTGAAAAATTTTAGATTTTGAGTGGAGCGAGGAATATATTGGTTTTACAATGATGTTTATTTTTTTTTTTATGGACAACTTTTCTATCAGCAATTTTGCTTTAATGTTAGAACTTTTTTAAAACGAAAATTGGACTAGGGAATTACTTTAAGCAGGTAACTTTTTGATTTTCCCTGGAGTTTTTTTGATAAATGAGAAAAACGAGAAAATAGGTACAACATTAAACAAAAAATTTTCAATGAAAATATATAATTCATATGTATTTATTTTATCATATATATTGTTATATATGGTATACATATACATATATATTGTTGACAAAGTAACACTATCAAACGAACTCCGCTCAGAATCGTTTTTTCGTTTGAAATGATTTATCGTTGCGTGCAGATATACATTTAAATTTCCCCTCTACTAGTTCCCAACTTCTCACCTATAACAGTGGGTGTACCCGTCTGCATTATTCTAGGACAACTTTTTTTATTTTAATTTTATAATAATATTTAAATTTTAAATTTTTTTAATTCTCGGTCAACGAATTATTTTGAGGGGATTAGATACCTATATATATTCTTTCTAAGTTAAACACATACTCTGCATAATATATTTAGATGGATTTTCCAGCAATCAGTCCGATGGATCTTGTGAAGCGTTAAGGAATTTTGCTAATAGATTTGAATTTAGCATGAAGTGTATATCGGCCAGTGCGATCGATCGGGTCACATTTCCAATACAATTTCAAGCTTGAAATTTAATTTTAATCTAAGGTTTTTTTTATTCATTTTTATACCTTTTAAAATCACAGAATCAAATTTTTAGAAATCAAGAGTTAAAATTTGAAAAATATGTACACCTAATTGATCTCATTACGTTGAACTCAAATCTGATTTCAGAATTTTTAATGCTTCATTATCTCGATCGGCCCGATTGCCGAAAAATAAGTCTAAATTGCTATGCATATAATGATAATTTCAGTATCTAATTTCCTTAAAACGTTTAAAGCTAATGCATATATTATTATGTAATTGATTTTGTGTCTGTAGCTATTCAAATTTGATTTAATCGTAATTTTCTATCAATCTTATAGCAGACAAGTTCGTCTGTACCTATTTAGTATTTACTAATAATATATGCTCAAATTCAAAATTGAAACGTTTAAAAAAATTCAACTAAGTATTTTTGTTGATAAATTGAAATTGGGTATCAATTAATTATAGCGGCGAAGGTAAACTATATTTACTAAAATAATT